ACGAAAATAATGTCGGATTTGGAGGGATTCGGCTATCGCGTATGATGTTTTTTAACTTTTCGGATTTAATTGATATTAAGGTCGACTATTAGGTTTTGGGAGCGCGTTTTATGAAAATAATGTCGGATTTTCGATAATGCCCCCGGACATTTTGTAACTTTTCTGATTTAATCGATATATGAGTCGACTATTAGGTATTGGGGGCACTTTTTATGAAAAAAAAAAATGTAAGATTTTAGATAGTGCCCCCGGGCACCGACTTTTTCTAACTTTTTTTATTTAATCGATATATGGGTCGACTATGAGGGTTTGGGGAGCACTTTTTATGAAAAAAAAATGTCGGATTAGGGATTCGGCCAACGCGTATGATGTTTTTTAACTTTTCGGATTTAATTGATATTAAGGTCGAATTTAATTCTTGTCGGGGGTGCCTTTAATGAGAATAATGTCGGATTAGGAATTCCGCCATCCCGTATCGTGTTTTTTTCAACTTTACGGATTTAATTGATATTAGGGTCAAATTTAATATTGTCGGGGCGGTCTCTATGAAAATAATGTCGGATTTGGGATTCCGCCATTGCGTATGATGTTTTTTAATTTTTCTGATTTAAATGATGTTAGGGTAGAATTTGATGTTTTGAGGCGCTTTTTATGAATATAATGTCGGATTTGGGATTCCTTCATCGTGTATGATGTTTACTTAACTTTTCGGATATAATTGATATTAGAGTCTCTAGTCATAGAGACGATAAAAAGCACGAAACATTAATGTTGGGAAACCATCGGAGGGGTCCTAAACATTTGCGGAAATAAATGAATACAAGATATTTATTTTTGGGGTACTAGAAAAATATAGACCAATAGTTTTAGAGTCCCCTCTCCCGGGGCTCCCCTAGTGCGGGAATTCACAGCGATCGACTAGCTAACCGGACATGCTCTTACATGATGTTTTCTTAGTTTTGCAAAGTTATATTTTTATGAATAAAGTTTAGATTTGCTTACAATTATTTTTACTGTGTTATTATTTATATTAATATGTAATACTTTTGTTGGTTTATAGATGATTACTGTATGGTTGTTATTTCATTCATAAAACTGTGTATTTACATTTTTTTTTTAATTTTCTACATAAATAATAATAATAATAATAAAAGGCTTAGCGAACCCGAAGGTTCGATGCCGACACCACCAATCGCTTATTACACACCTCCCTCCACCGATCGCCGTCCAAACCCAGTCCCTTCAGATCGGCTTTAATGCAATCTTCCCACCTTCGCTTCGGTCTACCCCTCGGACGCTTACCATTCGGCACAGCAAATATTAACCTTTTAGGAATTCTCTCGCTACTAAGCCCAACAACTTTACAAGCCCATTTGATTCGCCGCGATGAAATTAGCTCAATTATATTACCCTAATACAGTTCGCGCAATTCGGCGTTGTGTAACTGTCTGAACTCTCCGGTTAACTCATCCTTCTTCGGTCCGAATATTCTACGCAATACTTTATTTTCAAAAACCTTAAGACGCTGCTCATCCCTTAATGTAAGCGGCCAAGTTTCGCTATAATAATAATAATAATTATAATTTTCTAAATATAATAATTTTCTACATAGAAAATTTAAAAAAATATTGTTAGCGTAATTTTTAAAAATATTTTAGATTTTAATCGAGTATACAAAAAATATAAGAAAATATAGAGTATGATTTTATTTCCTTCATAATTTAATTTTCCGGATCAATAAAATTAAAAAAAAAAATTGTTAGCGTCATTTTAAAAAAATATTTTCAATTTTTGGTTAGTAAAGTAAAAAATGTAAATACGTAATTACTAATGCTTTTACATTCATTTTTAATGATCATAGGAATATTGAATCCTTTAAAAGGTTTATTTTACTATTTTAATTTTTATAGAAAGTTTTCCAATAATTTCTAAAAATATAAGTACATTTATATGTGTTTTATTAAACTTATTTCGTAAATTAAATTAAACTAATTTTAATCCTTGATCCATTAACAAAATAAAGGAATGTTAGTAGTTTTTAAAACATAAGTGGTGAACAAATAATCAAAGATCTGATCTAATGTGTCTAAGAGAAAACAATAACATTTAGCCAATAATAGTACGAATTTTCAAAGAGCGTGCGGCAACACTGTCATGAGGATTGGCCATCGAGCGCGTGGCAGCAATGGAACTAACAAACTTTAGTTTTAGCTATCGTTAACAACCTGTAACTGATTACTTTGTTATTTGGATGTTTCTAAAGTTATTATATATTAATTTGTGAGTTATTGTTAAAATTTTGTTTTTAGTTACTCTTTGTTAATTGTTTTTAATTATAAGGCGTGATTTCCAGGATTGTGTAACTCTTTCATATATTTTATATCCACCATGGGGGAATACATTGTTCAGAAGAAGGTTGATTTATCGAATACATATGATGGATTGCATAATGTGTCTTCATCGTCAAAAACCGGAGGGCTCTCATTTGGTTGTGTGATTGAGCATTAAGATATAGTTGGTACGATTGAAAGTGGAAGTGATCAAATAGTTACTTCTGAACTCAAGCCATCGTTGACCATCTTAGATTAGAAAGTTTTATAAGTTCATTCAAAGTAAGTCTACAAAATAATAATATAATTATACCGCTGCTTGCCAAATATGTAAAACAGAAGTCAAAGGAGCTCATCAATCTAGCCATAATTTTATATCTCATTTGAAAAGGAAACATGGTGAGGAAACCTTTACAAACTACAAAAGATATTTAGAAGAAAAACGGCAGCGGTGTGATAAAAAGATAAATAATTTTAACTTACCGGAAGAACAAAGAAATAATAGTTTTTCAGAAGAAAAAAATCTTACCCAAGAAGATTTAGAAGATTAATGATACCCTTTCGATCCATTGAAGATAAATATTTAAAAGAAATTATGCAAGACCTTGACATAGAACACATTGGAGTTAGACTTCCTTCCCGGCGATCTATTGTAAAAAAAAGTAGAAGAGTTATTTGAACAAAATAACAACAATATTAGGGCTCAATTGGAAAAAATCGATTACACTTGTACGTCTGCAGATATATGGTATTGTAGGCGCATAAATTTCTTCGGTGTTACCGCCCACTGAATAGATCGTGATTACCACAGAAAATCCGCTGCTTTGGCATGCAAAGGACTTACGAAAACCCATTCCTATGACAACTCTCTGCTCCAAAACATTCATTGTGATTTCGGCTTAACATGTCCAAAGATAGTGGCAACCGTTACAGACAATGCCTCAAATTTTGTTTAGGCATTTAAAACTTTCGGTGTAGACCCAAATGTAATCGATTCGACCTGTGAAAATGAACCACATCATTTGTCTGACAATGACAACATTGACCAAAGCTCAACAGATTCTGAGAATGATGATATTATCGAAGATATCGGCAGTGGTTCTACCCCAAAATTATTAACAAACACGTATTTTATTCAAGAAATGATGGAAACTTTACCAAATCATTATCGTTGCATGTCACACACATTGCACATGTGTGCAACTTTTGATGTATATAATGGACTTAAAAATCATTCAACGTCAGCTGAATGCCACAGGCGTGTATTGAATAAATGCACTGTCTTATGGCATTTTGCATCCAGGTCCAAGACGGCTGAAATAATTCAAGAAACATTAGGTCACATTCTATCAAGACCAGGTAAAACAAGATGGAATTCATTATTCGATTCTCTAAAGCAGATATGCAAAATAAAAGATAAAATTCATCATCTCAACATACATTTAAAAATTAAAAGCTGCCAACAACTGATGGAAGAGGACTTCTTATACCTCAATGAATATTTACAATGCTCGGAACCACTAGCCTCTTTAATAGATATTCTTCATGGAGGAAAAAATATTTTCTTTGGGATGCTGCTTCCTGTACTAGTGGTGCTACGAAGAAAAATTCACTTCCTCAGGGATAGACCGTGGCTGAATTGCGCTCCATTGATGGAGATATATTCATCGAGCGTGGAAAAAAGATTCTATGAATTTTTCAGCTTGTCCTCTACAACGGCACATCTCTAAGATTATATGGCAACTAAGATGACTCAAGCTTTGAACGAACTCAATCATGTTGGGAGAGAATTCTGGGCACTAAGATACCCAGCAAAAATGACAATTTATAAAGGGGTTGTACTGGTATACTAATGTATACATCCCCCTCCTGGTACCAGAATTTTGCATAGCACCAGAGAAAAATGTTGGCATCGATCCAGAGTAGGACCCTGCTGCATACCACCAGACCATATAGAACAAACTCACATGGAATAGTACAGGTTTTAACGGGAATGGTACCTCTCAACCTCCTCCTGAGAGTTGTTACCAAACAAAAGTTCAAGAAAGAAGGCTTGGCCGGAGTTCCAAGAAATCTATTGGGGAGGATTTCGAAGACCCCAATAAATGGAAAAAGATAATCTGTTAGGATACAATTGGAGCCATCGGTGAATATTGATCCAAAAGGGATTAACCTAAGGAAAAATACTTTCCCACTGTACATAGCCTTGGTCAGAACATAGATCCCCGATGGCCCGCTTATCTGGTTTAGGTGACTGTCATGCATGTGATCATATCTATTATAGCTATCTATCATATCTATTATATTATAGCACTACATTCAATGCATAAATGATAAAAACCATAGGAATTTATGTCTCACTGAGGATGGATTTCCATGGTTGGTGAGTTATTACTTCCCTCGATCCAAGAAATTCATTTATGACTGGAAAGCGCCAGCCCAACTCAACATCAAAGCTCCGAGAAGAGAACCAGTGTTAACAAGACCGTCGGAAGACAGAATCAGATTAACTATCGAAGATTTAACAAGTAGTGGAAACTTATGTTATTGTTTTATTAGTGCTAGTGTGTTATTATGCAGTAATGTGTAACATCCCACTACAGCAAACAGCCGTATAGCCTGATAGGTAAAGTTGACAGGAGTTTCTAATACTTAGGAAAATAGATCAACCAATTTTTAGTCATTTATTTCTCAATAGTTAAGATTGAAATACAAAAAGTTTCTTGTTTTACAAGCTTTATAACAAAAAATACATTAAAAAACCTGCAGCTTTAATACAGTGGAACATGAAGTGCAGAATTGATTTTATTTCCAACAATATAAACAAAACAATAAAAAATATATACAATACGGTCGTTGATATTTCAATTAATAAAAAAATATTTACAATGTCGATTTATTTGTTTTATACAATTTTTTTTTTTTAAATATACATTACCTAATAATATAAATGAGTAAAATATCAATCAGCATGCTTTTTCACAGGAAATATCGAACATAAGTTAGGTTTGAACATTAATTCCGACCAGGTACAATGCTTAATCCAATCAAAATGGTTATTGTCGATTCATGGTAGAAGTACGGTCCAAAAGAGACTCCCACTGTTCTTCAGTCAGCACTGAAATACATTAAAAATCAATTAATTAAATTTCAATGATTTAAACTAAAATGTTTGTTGATATACATATTTTGTTTATAAACATATAATTACAACTTATTTCGGCTTTATGCTGGTTCTTACATAACAACTAGATCAACTACTTGTTTTGGGGAATGGAAAGTAGTAAAATAATTTTATTGAAACAAAAATGTATTTAATCAAAATAATTTTCAACCTATGACATTACATTCAGAATGAGGCCCGAGAAGTTTTGCACTCGATGTTATAGATTTCACATACTTTAGGAGGTATAGTTTATAGAGATCAGGTATGAACATTAATTTAGGTACCTAAGAAAGTCATATATCGTTTTGAATTATTTACTTTTAATTACCTCTATATTTCATAAATAGGTATCAGTTCTTGAAAAATTTCTAATCTAAGTTTGGGCCAATTTCTTTTTCTACTCAATAATTATAATAAATAGATTGTTTAAAATGTTATCAATAAAATATTGTGAAAAGGATAAACTTAAATTATAGGAAAGTAAAATTTGTTTCCTGTATATAAACCATTTTGTTTTTCTTAAATAACAAAATAAAACCATGCTAGGTTTAACAGTAACCTCATTTATAAGCATCTTTTAGTGATTATGCAGTAGAAAATACATAAATAAATTTTCCTCCAATAGCTTTGCTTTATCACTAATTCAAATATCTGAAGTAGGAGATGCAAATACAAATTCCAGGTGGTAGCCGTAATAATAACAATAGAAAACAATGAATAAAATAAAGAAAACAAACTCCTTACTGGCCAACACAGAACTACTACAGCCGGTGAGAGATTACTAATGGATTTGTCACTGAATAATATGAGAAATACTATTGCATAATAATAATAAAGAAAATTACACTCTCATCATATTATCTACCTCTATTTCAGTTTATAAGCTGAATCTTATTTCTATAAATTTAAAAGGATTAGTTATTCAAATTTCTATTCATTTATAACACAATTCTGCAAAAATTCAACCAAAGAATAAATAAAAACATAAGAAAGTTTATAAATAACAAGTTAAATAATTATAATTACTATACCTGATCCATCTGAATGTATCTCCATACTCTGTTGTTTATTGTTTAAGAGTTCTTTTAGTTCTTCATAATCCATAACATTCTTACATTCAGCCTGCTTAGAATGTGAGAAATTTCCTAAAATGTTAAAACCATAAAAAAATAAAACAATCTTTGCACAAAAATCTATTTAGTATACTGATATTGTGTTTTAGGAATTTATGCTAAAACTGCTTAATGCATTTTATATTACTTATTTTTTTAATTCTTTCATCATTAGAAAACATAATATGATGATAGATTTTTGATCAAATAAAAAAAATTTATTGAATTGAACAGCTTAAATAAAAATTTTAATATTTGTTTTTCATCAGCTATGAAAAATTCATTTAAGCATAACTAGTTTAACTGCACTTGTTTTTTAACATGTAGCACTTGTATGTGTATGTAAATGATGAAACCTGCAGTTTCTGTTTCCTCCTTCCATAATAATTTCAGAAATTCTAAATCCTCTTTTATTTACATGTGGTTTTGTTAATCTACAGAAAAACAGCTTTGCCTCCGATTTTCTTTTTATTTAATAGTTGATTTGTTCGGAATAGTAAAATAATCTCAATGTTTTCTCTTTCCTTAAATGATAACCTGTCATTCTCCACTGAGCTTGTGGCATTTTAACGAGGATTTTGACACCTAACACTACACCATACAGCTAGTGAGAATGTCTACCTGCTAATATTGCCAATAGCAGGACTACCAATAGTAACTAACAATGTCATCAAAACCCAATGAGAAACAGCAAAAACATTATTTCTTAGGTTTTTTAAAACAATCTTGGCTTTATCTCCAAAACTATAGCCAATAAGCTAAAAAGGAATAGGGCCCTTTGTGAAGAGAATTTACTGTATTGAAACGTTTTGTAATCTGCTAATATAACAAAACTGTTTTCTCAAATAGTTAAACTCAAGTAAAAAACAACCCAAAACTTAATTTAAATACACAGTGCTGAGCCTTAAACTTAAATACACACTTACCACCATGTATGATTATTTTTTCTAATTTCCGCTTGGCAGCAGCTCTAGAAACAATTTTTTCATCAATTGTCCCTTTGGAAACCAAACGATACACAATAACTGGACGAATCTGGCCAATCCTGTGACACCTGTCTTGTGCTTGTAAATCGGCTTGTGGATTCTAAAACAAGTTATATTGATTAAAATGAATCGTAAAATAAATTTAAGTTTAATGAATGTATTAGTACATAACAACAATGTCATGTCTTCAAATTTTTAAACTACTTATGATCGATCATATAGTCTAATAATAGACAATGAATAAAAAATAATAATGTTTAACTTTATCTATAACAATCATAACATGGCAAAGGCAGAGTTTTAAAATATTTATGTACGAAGATATGTTAAACAAAGGCATTTTGATGAAATTGTTTTAGTTTATCAAAAGGAAGTGCCTAGTATTAGAAATAATTAAGTGGGATAGGTTATTTAATCATTGTCAAAACATCGGTGTCATAGAAGAGCAAAAAAGAGATGTTGAATGAATGAAAAATTTATGTTTATTCTGGGATATTACCTCCCTTCAGAATAACATAAATGTCAATTTCAAGCAGAATTTATCTGTTTGCATTAATTAGAACTTAACTTAATAGACATTTATCCTTAACATGAATCCGGAAGATTGATAATAGAGGAAGTGCAGAAGTCAATGGTGATGAATGAAATTAGTGAGGGAGGTATAAGAGTTCTATGAGAAGGGATATACAAATTGGTTGATTGAGATATTTTATTTAAAGGGTGGCTAGAAGAAAGCAGAGTGAAGATATTAAGAGTATGCAATGACTTTTAGTATCACAAGGATTGAAAAGGAACAAGATTTTGTTGGGGACTAAAATAAAGCTAACCTAATACCAGAATCCTAGTTACAGATTTCAGAACAACTGGAATCACCCAAAATGATTGAAATATAACAATTCATTAATTTTTTTAGTCTCTCTTTTCAGGTTGAATTATAACTAGAAAATATTAAAATAATTTCTTATAAAATGTTCTTTGCTGATATGAGATGAATATTTGAAAGTGGTTCTACTAGATTTAGTCAACCAAGTAGTTAAAAAAAAGGGGCCAAATCACGTCTTAAGGTTCAAAAATTCAGATGCATAAATGCCACCTTAAAAATGAACTGTTATATTGCTGAACTGTCAATTGTCAAACTAATATCGCTCCCTCAGCTTGAACCCCACCAGTGGTCAAGCTCAACGCAGAGTCGAGATCATAACAGGAAATTTGCTAAGGAATGACCTTAAGAGTAAGAAAATTATAGGAAATCTTCATTAGATCATGGTATGAAAGGAAAGAAACTAAAGGAGATCTTCATTAGATCATAGTATAAAAGGAAAGAAATCAAAGGAGGGAGATATGTTTTGGGAGGAAAATATTATAATGAGGTTAAAAGCTATGTTCTTGAGAACTAGTTAAGGCAGGTGGATTGAAAGTAAACAATAAAAAGATCTAGAAAATGGAAATCAGTCATTAGTAATTAGTCAGCAGATCCAAAGGATAAATTAAGTGTTGAAATTACTGGCTAATGTAATGTTATTGGCTAATGAGATGTAGGTAAAAAGGAAAGATTCTAAAGTAAGATGAAAACGAATCTGAGGAGGCAATATGAGGTAGATATTATAGGTTAAGAGAAAAGTAATACATGGAAAAGGAGATTTGACGAAAATACAAAAACTTCCACCCATTGACTTATGCAAGTACAATGAGGAATGTATAAGGAAAAAGATGGAATAACAGGCTTGAGCCAGATTTTAGAAAAAGCAGTAATATCATTAAAATTTTGGAGGAAATAACCTAGAAATTTATCAAAATGTAATGGTAGGGAATGAGAGTTAAAGTGATTCTTATCATTTACAATTAAAGGATATTTATCATGCAAGGAAAAAGAAGGATGTTTTACAGTAAAAAGCAAAGGAATTATTAGTAGGAATTGAAGAGTACAATAGATAATATGGAAAATAAAAATCTGGTGTGCGCAACACAACTTTCACTTACCGCTCAACTTTGAATAGAAATTATTTTCAGGCATTAGACTATTATAAAATGGGTAGAGCTGGAGAGGGAGATGAGTGCAGGAATCTTCTCTATGGAATGCTTTGATTTAAACACAAAAAGTTTTTTAACCTTCTGCAAGCACTCAAGGCTTATTTTTGGGTAGTGATGAAGTAAAATATTGTTTTTACTTTGGTATCTACTTTTTATTACTATGTTTCCATTTAGTAACATTACATTTTCAAAAAATTCTCTGAATTTCTGCTGAAAAACCCTTGATTTTTCTCTGATCTTGCCCGAAAAATAAAATTCATTGACTATTCCAAGTTTTTCCTGTCTATAAAGCCTGACCCTAGACCTCATTCTTTCAGTCACAGAATAGTGGTTAGTGTATGCTCACACAAAATAGTAATTGACATTTGCACCCATAGAATGAATAGTGCACCCATAGAATAGTGCACCCACAGGTTTGGTGCTTTCAGTGGTTATAGTACTGAAAGCACCCACAGGTTTGGTGCTTTCAGTGGTTATACTACTGAATTAAGAGTAGTCGTAAAGAGGATTATTAAGATTGATACTTTTTATACCCTCTCAACCTGAAACAGACAAATGAGTGGGTGCCTGATCATTCAGGAACATAAGCAACAAAAAGGATAGGATGGCAAGAATATGTACTGAACATTCTTTACAATTAACTCATCGTTCCAATCTGCTTCTGGAGGGATACTTTGGTAAATGTTGTAATATGATTTAACACATAACAATTATTATAACTGAAATTTAAAATCAGCAAACATTCACAAGTCAAAATCAGAAGAAAATTTCATTTTTACCAAAGAAAAAAAAAAGGTCATTAAATATTAATTACTAGGGAAAGTTTTTTTTGTTAAGTATTTTTAGTTTAAAAATACATACCCAATCACTATCATAAATTACAACAGTGTCGGCAGAAGTCAGATTAATTCCTAGGCCACCAGCTCTTGTAGAAATGAGGAATACAAAACAATCTTTATCTTGATTAAACCTGAAAAAATAAAAATGTGGTTATTTTAACTAGATTTAATCGCATTAATATAAATTAGTATTAGGATTTGGAAGTTTGTCACAGTTTAAACAACTTAACCTGATTGGTTAATTTACATTTCTCGGCAGCCCCGGCAAATGAAACTTGACATTCCCACTGGTAAGTACACGACTGCACAACCTTAAGGTAACCAGGGCTTGTCAAAAAGGACCACAATAAAGCCCACTTTGCTGAACTAGTTTTCCCCACGAGTACCACTAGATTCGAGTTATAATTTGTCATAAATGAGTGGTCCTCCCGGTGGAGCTCCGTGACAGACTGGAAACATTAATGAACAGCTGCGTAAGATTTGTAATTGGTGCCCCGCGATACTCCCATGTCTCTCACCATTACACTGAGTTAAAGTGCCTCTTCCCCTCTATCACACCATCAACAATCATTGTCCTAACGCCTACAACCTTCTCCAATTCAAGTCCTCAGTCCATTCCCTTTCCACAAGATCTCGATCTTCCGACCTTATCATTCTTTCTCACAGATCTGCCTCATTCCAAACTCCTTTATTGCTGGCTCTGTTAATTTATGGAATTCCCTTCCTATCAAAATTCAGCATTGCCCCTTCCTATCTACATTTAAAACCATCCTATTCCAATTCCTGTCCCAAAAACAGTCAGATACCCGGTAACCTTTTCTGTAAAATTACATATTATTCATAATGATTTACATAATGATGTATTTACATATAATTCATCATTTAAATATTCAGACAATTTTTACTATCAGATTCGGCTTTATTTTTTCTTTTTTTTTTTCTACAGAAACAGTTTATTTCTAAGAAGAATTTAATGTATTTTTTATTATATTTTTTCTAAAAGTGTATATTTATGTTTAACCACTGTACATAGTTTTAAGTGTCTTGGTATTATTTCAAGTGATTTGCATATAGATTTTTTTTATTTATTTTGTATATAGCATGTTTAACTGTTTTCTTTACTTATATCTCTTTCTTTTTATTTTTTGTGTTTGTTTTTATTTAGGCCAGACATAATATTTTAATTTTATAATTTTTTGTTATTTTAAAGGGACTTTGTCCCCGAATAAAATTATTTTCTATTCTATTCTATTCCAAATGAATTAAACATGATTCTTAATGTGTCGTTTTAGTAGCTAGGAATAAGTCATTTTTTCAATAGACTTTTTAGCGAAATCGACAGAACTTTTAAATAAAACATATGTAAACCTTTACTTGAAAAGTTGAAAGGGAAAAAAGTTGTAGTTCTAAAAGAATTAAAAAAATATCGACAAATAAAATTCCAATGATTTTTTAATAACTTTTTAAAATAAAAGTTTTTTTTCTGTTTCAAGCCCTGCTTTTAACAATAGGAATATGAGCCTTGCAGATGAAAAGATTATGATTTATCGGGTGTAGTAGAGGCTTCCAATACAACAGTAGCTTGTCATCTTAAAAATCTGGGCCTACAGAACTCAGGACCAAGGTCCGACCCACATGATTTTAGAGAGGCACAAACCCAGCAAGCAATTCTTCTTTGGCAGCTCTAGGCTTCCCTCAGTCAGAGCCGCTTGTCTTTCTGTTCTGTGCTGCTGCCTTCCGATTTCTTATTCCAACAGATTCTGAGCATCTACCATTACGCAATCTACCCAACGCAAGCGAGGTCTTCAAACTCTTCATTTGAAAATTTTTCTTGTAGGAATGACTTGGGCACTTCAATATTATTCATGCATGCAAGAGACCTTGACTATCAAAGACGTGCAGCCTTTATTAAATGGATCTCCATACAATGTTGATATACATAGGCCCACCCCATAATCCTTCTCAAAATCTTTCTTTCCAATCTGAATAGAGATGATTCTAGTGCTTTCCTCATCGTCCAGCACTCAGATGAACACGTGAGGACGGGTCTATAGGGCCTAGGAAGGTTTTATGGATACAAATCTTGGTGGTCCTAGAGAGAGATGTGCTTTTAAGATGCCTCTGGAGCCCATAATAGCATTGGTTAGCTGCTATAATCTGCCGCTGAATCTGTAGGTGGATATTATTAGTTGAATTTAACAGTGTCCCAAGGTAGATAAATTCCTCGACAGTTTTTAAGTTGAAGTCTCCAATTTTTACTCTTCCTCCTAGATATTCTCCTCTTTTAGAATTACAGAGTATATACTTTGTTTTGGACTCATTGACCTGCAATCCAGATTTATCGGTTGCTTTTTGCAGATTTAGGAAGGCTCTCTCCATACTCAGAAAACTGCGTTTTAGGACATAGGCCAGAATTTGGCATGATATGTTGAAAATCGTTTCTCTCATAAGAATTCCAAACTCTCTTATGGCATATTCCAATGCAACATCAAACAGCAGACATGCTAAACAATCACCAATCACCTAGTCTGAATTCCTTGTGGCTATGGAAAAAATCACAAGTATCTCAAGACACTCTCACAAAGCATTGAGTGACCTTCATAGTCAATCTGACAAGGCAGACTAGCTTGGAGGAATCACTTTGAAAACCTCTTAAATGGAGAGTTCATAGAAGAACGAACGCCACATAGGACCAATATCAGTGGTGAAGAGTTGGAATCACCAGATGAAGAAGATATTAGGGACGCCATAGAACGGCTCAAGAATACTAAAGCACTAGAGGATGGAATACTAGCTGAATTTTGGAAACACATAGGGGAAAGATTTCTTTTTTGGGCATATCAGACCTTGTAGATCTGTTGCCACCTTAACAAGCCTGCTCCATCTCTGCCTATCTTGGGCTATTTCTTTCCAGTTATCTACATATAGCTCTATTGCATCTTTATTGATTGTATCCATCTATCTGTTTTTTTTTTTACATTCCATATGATCTTTTGCCTTCTATTAAGGCATTCATTATTATGTAGTCTTCCAGATGGATTGCACCGAGCTACATGCCTAACCCATTTTAACCTCCTTGCCTTCATATCATGATATATTGATTGACCAGTTTCTGTAAGAAGTTGTTTATTGACCTTATTCTTCATGCATTAGAATTTCTTATCCCCGATCACACCAGTTGTCACAGGATTTTTCTCTATGATCACACCAATTGTCAGAGGATTTTGCTCAATGTTATTATATTTATTAACATTTATTTTATGCATTACTGCTGTTAATTTTTTTTTATTAATGAAAATGGTGAAAAACTATTATGCAAGAGTGGTCTGAAAAGTATACAACCGCAACATGAAGATGGCAGCACTCATAAATAAAAGCAAGTGAATTTCGTTGTTCATTTGTTAACAGTTACCCACCAAAGTTTCAGACATTTTGTTTTCAGTCAGTTTTTATGTAACAGTCGTTTAAGTGAGTTGATGTGAGTGTTTTTGTGAAAATGGACAAAATCGATTATCTAGCTGTCATTAAATATTTGTTTTGGAAAGGCAATATGCGTATGCATATCAAAGATGAGCTGAATTCTGAGTATGGGACTCTGAAGCATCATTTGCCACAGTGAAATTTTGGGCAGCTGAATTTAAATGTGGCCGTAAGAGCTTGGGAGACGATGAACATTCGGGAAGTCCAAAAATTGCAACTATCTTCGAAAACATCGCCAAAGTCCACCAAATGGTGCTAGATGACCGCCGAATTAAAGTGAGAGAGAGAGCAGAGGTTATGAACATGTCAAAAGAACCTGTTTGTTACATATTAAATCAACATTTAGATATGAGAAAGCTGCCTGCACGTTGGGTGTCACCTATGCTCATGTTAGTTTAAAAATGTGTTCGAATGAACATTTCCAACGCTCTGATGGCGCAATAAATCAGAGTTTTGGTGCCGATTAATTACTGAAGATGAAATTTGGATACACCATTATACGCCTGAAACAAAAATACAGTCTAAACAGTGGACTGCAAAGGGGGAACCGGCTCCAAAAAAAGCAAAAACAGTTTTCTCGGCTAGGAAAGTGATGGCGACTGTTTTTTAGGATAGTCATGAAGTTATTTTAATTGACTACCTTCAAAAAGGAAAAACCATTACAGGAGCATACTACGCATTATTACTTGACACGCTGAAGGCAGAACTTGCGGAAAACGGCCACATTTGCAGAAAAAGAAACAGCATTAATTTTCACTAAAAACCGAGAACTTATTCAGAGTCCCAATAAATAATGTAAAACCAAGAAATGAAGAAAATGGTAAAATATAATAACAACCTAACTTGATCATGTCCCAAGTCGAGTCCATTCAACATGAGTTTGCTGGTGGGTAGAGGGGGAGAGTAGTAAAATATTTGCCCGCTGATCCAACCAATATCTAACCACCACACTTTACAGATCTAGACCCAATAGTAATAACATCGAGTTCAGTGAACAGTAGACCTCGTGAATTCACTTTTTTTTTTTCTTCTTATTTTGATGATTTGACAATCCTTGCCACTGTTTTATTTTATTTTTTAATTAAAATCCCTATTTTTAATTAAAATTTGTGTAAAATTTAAAGTAAATCAAACATGTTCCCTGTATGAGGTGATTGCTGTGGTGAGGGGCAGTGGAGCTTGAGAAGGATTTTGGGAAGGTGGAACTTGAGAGAGGGAAGGCTGCACGACCTCCCTTCTCTTATAGGCAAACTCATCTTGGACGCACTGTATCAGAATATCAATGTAAAAAAACATCGACTATTATCCTCATATATCAAAAATCATGAATGTCTAACACTACCATGATTTGAAAAATTATGGAAGGACTTGCGAAAAATTTTGAAATTCAGTGAAATAAATATTGAATTGGTCAGGACTGATGAAAATAATGAGATTCATGGAACAAATTATTGGAGAAAACTACAAAATCATGATCCTTATACACTTTCTTTATATATACTGTTACATATTTTGGTAGGACCTTTACAATTGTAAATATTAACTTATTTCATGTTTTGTTCTTTTATTATCTTCAACTTTGTAAAATATGTAAGATATATGAATATATAATTTAATTATTGTAATTTTACAGACTTTATTTTAAAATTTTAACTAAGTTAAAATTCATATTTATATAGATAGGATATTTATAAATTCAATTTAAAGTTATGTATTAAAATAATAGGTCTTATTATTTTAGTTGTAATTTAAAAAATTGTAAGAACGATATTATCATATAAATAACTATTAAAAAGTAAAAGGTACCATGTATCAGTGCAGATGGAGTTGTTTCTCCAAAGAAGGTAGAATTGTAAATAACTTGTTAATTAAACAAGGGAATAACTTAGGTTAGATGAGATAATGGAGGTTATGTGAAATGAGATTAGATAAGAAGGGAGGTTTTGACGTTACCCGCTACTAAATAAATACCCTTACTGTAATAATTCTTTTTCAGAACAATTGATGTTTAAACTGTTTTTAATATAAGTATTTCTGGTTTGTGATTTAATAAAAAATAAAAGGAGTTTGGACTAAGAGATTTCAGGGCCCAAATAAAACAATTGTTTCTGTTGTTGCCTCTCACTAACCTGTGAACAGATCTGAAGGCTAGTTATTAGTTTAAATAGTGGCCTGATAGCTAGGGCTGGCACTCTTTAAGTCATAGCACAAAGGCTTCTGAAATCTCTGTCCAACAGTTTGATATCAGATCGATTGTGTTATTCTTTTACCCTACCTGCTCACCCTTCTTCTATAATCTCTCCCACCCTACCTCCTTTCGAACGTTTAACTTGGTGGTCCCTTGTTGCATACTTACCCCTTTGCGTACTTCCTTGGTCAGGATGAGTGTAAAGTTACCTATCCTTGCAAGATCTGTGGATGGTCTCCTCAGCTTGCTGAGCCCTGGATGTTATAGGGGTAATCCCCCTATCATTCTTGGCGGTCATACTCTACCCCCATTGTCCGGTTCATCCTATCTAAATCCTTTCCATTCTTTAAATAAGTGTGAATAGATATAGTAAGAGAGATAATTTAGAATCAGAAACAATAAAGACAGTAGTAGACAGAGAGATTAGATAACATTGAGAAAATAAAGATCAAGTAAGAAAAATAATTAATCCCTTATAAAAAATATAATACATGCACGTACACTCGCATATTAGTCAAAAATTTCAACAAAATATCTATTTTAGTTTATTTCACTGGATGAAGTGAGTATAAATATTAACAGTTAATGGAACATTAAAGAACTACAGCCTTCTGAGAGTCCTTGCACCAACAGAGAAGACGGACGAGGCTGATGAAGAGGAATCCTTTGACCAACTTGAAAGAATCATTTTCCCAAACATGATACAAAAAAAAATTACTGCTAATATGAATGCAAAGATTAATAAAGACTTTATGACCCTCAAGTTATAAGCTCATATGATGCATTAACACTATTACAATGGACAGAGACTAATAGACTTAGCTGTATCTTCATAAAAACATACATAAGAGTAGCTAGAGACCTACAGATGGAAAAGCAATAAATCAGATCGACTATATTTTGAACAGCTCCCGAAATAATTTTAACATACTGGATATCAGATTCTGGAAAGAAGCTAACGTGGACTCAAACCACTATTTAATTATTGCATGTCTTAGGGACAGGATTTCAATAGTAAAGAACATATCAAAGGACAAGGAACATAGAATACATCCTGAAACTTAAGTATATGGATATCATGCTTTATAACGTGCTATGCTAACATAAGAACATATGAGCACTGATCCTATTATGTCACATTCACAAGCGGAAGATGAGGATGTAGTGTGTTTGTGGACATTATCTCTGGGGTCATGGTGTCAATGGTGCACCTTTATTTAGCGTTTCCTCCTCTTCTAGGATTAGACTACAGTTGAAGAAAAGACACTAGGCTGGTCTGCTCTTTTATTTTCAGCGGGGCTATGACCATCAGAAAATTCAGATAAAGTAGAGCAAGTATTTAAAAGAGAATAAGGTTACAATTTGGAAAGGTAACAAAGAAAGGAATTTATAACATTAATACAGTTTTATAGCCACACAATGTCCAAATATTTTGTTAAGAAACTTAATTTAAAATAATTAGATATACCTGCATATTGCATCTTTTCTATCTTCTAGTTTACTACTTCCATCTAGCCGTTCATACTTGTAATCTCTCATTATCATGTATTCTTCCAAAAAATCTAGTATTGTTGTCATAGTAGAGAAAATCAACACCTGCGGCAATCATATCGAAAATATATTAAAATAATTATAAATTATATGAAATCTAATAATAATTAAATATAAGGTCAGAATTCAAAAAAATTAATAAAAGAAATTTCAATATTCTATCATCATATATTATGTAATACTTATATGATATATATATCATTATAAATTTAAAACATAATAATGATATGTATAAACATTCATTACAGCCTGTCATGCATAATTTAACCAACTTTTAAAATATTTCATTTTATGAATTTTAGTGTTAAGACCATGAGATGATTTTGACATTTAAGGAGTGGATCGGAAAACAGCCAAAATGATATTCTGTTTCATCCATGGTTGCAACCAACTCATTTAAGTGAAGAGATTTTTTTAGACAGAGTGTATGGAAAAACTTTCAAACATATCATGCATTTTAATGGTTATTTTGAGAAAAAAAATTCTTTTGTAAAATAAAATAAAATTATTTTACAATTATCTTGTGATCCTATTCATCCCAATGCATTATTATTATTTCCTATTCACCCTGTAAACATTTTAAAATGCACAGTCATAAATTATATGAGCGTTATGATTTACACATCTAAGGGATGAATCGCTTCCATGAGTGCCACTTCGAGGCATCACCACCATGTCAGCAGTATCCCCCCTCCTCCCCCTCCTTCCCGTGTCTAATACTTATAACAGTTGGGCAGTTAAGTAAATAATAAAGAATAAACATGTGTTTGCTAGAGATCTAGAGTTATTAAACAACAGTAAATGAATTCAAGATTATAAACGTAGTTTTACATATCTATGAAATATTTTTATATTTCACTTCTTCTTTCACCAATGAATTCAAGATTATAAACGTAGTTTTACATATCTATGAAATATTTTTATATTTCACTTCTTCTTTCACCAATGAATTCAAGATTATAAACGTAGTTTTACATATCTATGAAATATTTTTATATTTCACTTCTTCTTTCACCAATGAATTCAAGATTATAAACGTAGTTTTACATATCTATGAAATATTTTTATATTTCACTTCTTCTTTCACCTAAGTAGATAATGTCATGGTATCGATTTGATGGATTTTATATATATTTTTTCAAACTTAAAAATAATTTTAAAAGTTTACATTTTGTTAAGAAATTTGATTGATTCTCTTGGAAACATGTGGTTTTCATTAAATAATATTAGTTTTCATAAATTATCATTTATAATTTTTTCGTCACTCCCCATTCCCTTTTAAGAATTTGGATGTCAGATATTGTTTTTTCTAAAATTCTCAGCTTTCCAACGATATATATTATACACATATCATCTGACTATTATTACCCGAAGTTCATTTTTAATCTAAAAAAACATTTTTCATTTTTCCTTCCATTGTCAATTATCAAATATTTTTATACTTTTTATTGAGCCTATTTTTACTTTCACTTACCTATGTATGAAATACATAGTAAAGGAAAGAATTGCGATCGTGAAAATTTTTTAATCTCAGTTTTCAATGGAAATACACGTTTTGAGGTCCCTTGAGTCCAAATAACGAAGTCCCACAAAACGGTGTGCATGTATTTGTTCACAGTCTAATTAAAAAACGAAAAGTTGTACTGAAATACCTATTTAAAGTTAAGTTTAGACCTAAGATGCTATGCCAACTTTCCCCTTAATATCGGCTAACCGGAAGTGGCACTTTATATCATCATTTTTCAAATTGTCTAAAAAATGGCTTCAACGATTTTGATTAAACTCGGTGTATCAATGTGTAATTAAGTGGTCTTTAATATCATTTAGGTGTCATCCTCATTGACGCTGCTTAATAGGGCATAAATTCCCATTGTTCAAAATTTAATCCTTAAGGTACCTTTAATTTGGTTTATTTTAAATAATTAAATATCTCTCGTTATTATCAGAGTTAGTTATGAAAAAAAAAAGCTAAATATAACTTTTGAAATAATTTGATAATTGAATAAAGAAGAAAAAAGGAAAAATGTTAATTTAGATTGAAAATGAACTTTCGGAAATAATAGTCAGAAAATATAAGTATAATATATCGTTGGAAAGCTGAGAATTTTAGAAAAAACGTTATCTAATATATTAATAATTTCAGAAAACACAAAATTATTTAACAGAAACCACATGTTTTCAAGGGAATTAAACAAAATTTCCTATCGAAATGTAAACTTTTAAGATTAACTTCAAGTTTGAAAAAAAAGGAAATAAAATTCACTGAATTTACCAATACCAATAAAATACCAACCCAATCATTATTTTAGTTATAATTTTAAAAAATCTATCCATTATTTTTAGTTATAATTTTTAAAAAACTGGTGCGGGCATCACACGACTTTCACTTTCCACCCTCTACTTAGCAGAAATAAGTATTTCAAGACAAAGAGGAAGTGAAAGTAAAAATCATAGACTCTATATTTATTTACATTTCATTGTGGGTTTTTTATTTGTTTAATTATCCTTATATATACAAATTTTAATTTTTATATCAGTGTAATCTATACAATTAAATATTAAATAATACCAACGATAGCATTTATGAAAACCTCATATGTATAAATACATAATATTGTCTGTATGATATTGAAGCCTGTTATAATCTTTCAGGCAAGCAAGGGTGAGCTCATATTCCTTTGGTGCCTCCATTTCAACTACTATCCATTATGGTCTCTTATTCCTCCTTTAGTTAATTATCAAATTCTTTTATATTTTATATTTAACTATTTTTTACATCAAAGATTAATTTGGAATGGTCAATTATTTCAAATAAAAAAAGGTAAAGGTTCTTTAGAGGAAGCTAATATTAAAAATTAGCCACTTATGCTCTTTTAGAAAACAGTAATGAGAATAAAGCCTACATTATATTAAAAACTGCTTAATAATACACTGATATACTGAGTATAATCAAAACCGTTAGTCCTTTGTGAGAAAATCATAAACACACACACATGCTCGTGCACCCTGGATGTTATAGGGGTTGTCCCCCTATAATTTTTGGCGGTCTTACCTTATATAATTTGTCCATTTCATTTTATCTAAGCTCATAGACCACATTCTTTTCGTTTACAAGGGTAAATAGATACACAAAGATAGGTTACTGGACAGTCAGACAGAGAGAGTAAAGTTAGAAGAAAAGATTACAAATTTTGAAGAAGATCAATTATATTGACAGAGGGAGAGAAATTACGATACATACATCTTTTTAAAAAATCTGTGTTTTCATCTTTATTGACCTTCATAAAATGTATCTCCCCTTACCAAATAACAATGACAATATTAGCAAATTTGAGATTCACGTAATTTTTTTAGAACATAACCCACTCTATAAAGGATTACTGTGCATATAGTCTAGTCAAGAAAAAACGCAACCAATGTAATAGAAGACTGCAGAATCAGGAAAAATTCATGTAACAGCAGATGTTAAATGACTGCTAAATATATTCCAGATGTGTAAATATAAAACCAGACTTTTTGGCAGAGAAAACACAAGTTTACTGCATACAATATTAATATTAATAAATATAAAAACATAGAGAAAAATCTTCTGACAACTGGTATCATCAGAGATCAGAGCTACAATGCATGGAGGACAAGATCAATAAAGAACTGCTTGCAGAAACTGGTCAATCAATATTCCATGATATGAAGGAAAGAAAGTTAATATGAGCAAGAAATACATTTCTGAACTACAGTTCAGAGCAATCCATCAAGAAGATTCACAAAAATGAATGCCTCAATAGTTGGAAAAGACCACATGAGGCAAAAAAAACCAGATTGATGGATTGAATCAACAAAGATTCTGCAGAGCAACATGCAAATAACTGGGAACAAAATAGAACTAGATAGACAGATGTGAAGAAGGCTGGTTCAGGAGGCTAAATTTTACTTAGTCTGTAAAGCCAACAGAAAAAAAAAATACTAAGAAAAGCAAGAGAAAACAGTTTTTCAATAAAATTACTTTTGGAAGAACAATTTATGGCCTAAAAACCTTCAAAGTTAAGGACTTTTATATTATATTTAAAATATCTTGGTAACTTGATGTTTTGTTGTTGATCATCCGAAAATGCTTGCTTACTTCATTCATTCAAAAAGAGAAGATAAATCTCTATAACTTTAATCCTCATATTTTTTTTTTTTTTTTATACAAGCAATAGCATGTGCGGTGAGATGGTAAATACTCGCCTACATTTAACATTCTTTGTGATTTCATTCATCTATATATCTGTATCTAAATAGATAGCAGAGAAAAAATATTTTATATAATTTTAAACAAAATTTCTGTTATTTATTTTTGCTTTTGCTTAGGTCCTGGATTTTTAGATTATTTATTTATTTATTTCAATTGATTTCTCTTTTTTTTGGGCCGAATAAGGAAAATATGTTGACCATAGTATTATATGAGTTATAATGTATCATAAATTAAAAAAAAACAAAAAGGTATTTCCAGTAAAGTAAATTTTTGTAATGTAAAAGCAAGTTAGAATCGATTTAGAGAAGAAATCAATTAAAAAAAAAAGAAATCAATTGAATCTGAAAAAGCAAAGCAAAGATAAAAATAAATAACATAAATTTTGTTTGAAATTATAAAAATTTCTTTTTCTCAGCTTATGAGGGCTTTGGAACAAATGCTAGGACATCACTGAAAAAGATTTGATGAAATTCGATGATTCCCTGAGTAAAGCCCCCTTATTAGTCATAAAGAATCAGTGCAAGTTGGTATGACCAAAACTTTGGAGCAAAATTTTTAAACATGTGTTATGACATGTCAAACAAACAAAGCAACAGCTCAGAATAGGGGAAGCAAGCTGTTCCAGTTTTCAAGAAAGTTCTAAGAAGATTTAACACTACACTCACAAACATAAATAATGACATATTGAAAGAAGTTAATCGACTGTTCTACATATCATGGGTGATAGACGCAGTCTTTTTTAAAAAAAACTTTTATTTTTTATTTTTTTATTTATGCCAAGGTTTCAACCCAAGCATGTGGGTCATCTTCAGGGCGTGGTTTGAGCACTGAAGATGTTTGGGTTGAAACGTTGGCATAAATAAAAAAATTAATTAAAAAAAAGAAAGACTGTGTTCTGATTATTTATCACCCATGAATAATGACACATACATTAATGTTTTATATTAATATTTTTTGGTAATAATTTACATGATAGCATTGAAAAAAAATCATACCTTATGATCATTTTTCTTCAACCTTTTCAAAAGTCCATCTAACATTATAAGTTTTCCACTGGTATCAATGAGACCTTCATCAACCCTTAGAATAGTTGATCCAGGTAGAACCGGCATCTGAATAAGGTAAGGATGATTGACTACTTTCCTTAACATCATGGGGATATTCTGTATCTTCACATTGAATCTAAATTGGTCTGGTCCAGCATCAACGACCAACATATCACTGAAATTCATGAAAAGTATTAAAAAATAACTTAATTTGAAGGGGAAAAATCATAAACAAAGATTACCATAACAATAAACATCAATTTTTTTTTTCTATGAATTCCAAAAGCTACTTTTTGAAAATTAATAATTACAATAATAATCAATTATTATTTTAAAAATCAAGGAAATTAGATACAAATTGTGATAACAGTGTCCTCTAAATTATAAAGCATTGTTATCAGGAAACTCATAATTATTTTAAATAATAATAAGAAATAGTAGAACTGCAAATAATGAAATTTCACAAATAAGAAGCACTAAGTCTAGTCCAAACTAGTAGACGTATTGCGCGATTTTGGTCTCTGAGACATGTCTCAGTTTTGTCTATGTAGACATGTCTATAGACAAATCTCCATCTATAGGCCTATTGCGAGACCAAAAATCACAGGTCTAATGTCTCCCAATCGGAATGGGAGACATTATGCAACGTTAGACATGTTGCAAAACATTTAGACAGTGTGAACGTCAATCCCTAGAGCTTTCCGAAAACTATAGTTCTAATTATTATTTTTAAATTAAAATATCGTAGGGAAAATATCAATAGTCCCTATTTTGTACTAATTTAATTTAATTTTGAATATTTTGTTATTCTAAAGGTACTTTGTTCCAGAATAAAGTTATTTTCTATTTCTAAATAGTTGATAAAACCAAGTACAGTGGTAAAATATCAAATATCGATGATTCAATATTATCAAATATCAATAGCCATCCCTAAAACGTTCCAGTCTGGCTTCAGCTTCCGAGTGGTGTGGCTTGACTTTTTACAGATTTTAAAAAGTTTTACAGATCTTTTGAAAATATGTAGTCTAACGAGAAAGTTTTAAAACTAATTAAAGTTTACCATGCATGTTATTGTTTGTGAAATTTTATGAGTCCCGACTATAAAAACTGGGTATAAAGGAAACCGTTGGATTCAGAATTCCACGGGGAGTTAGCGAATCGTATTCTCCACGTTTTTTTTTTTTTTTTGTTTTTCTTTCTAAACTAAATAAAGTCGATACAAACATTTTGCTAGGCTTCAATACTGGAACGGTGGTAGGTCTGTAGATCGATGCAGGGCAAATTGGATCTTGAAGATTTTGATGCGTACAGCAAGACCCTGCGTTTTTAAGCCCAAAAACCTATTTTCGAGATAACACATAGGGGTCGCATCCACACAACCTTACGTTAATTGTAGTACTGTCATTGAAAACATGTCTCATTTCGTCGACTTGAGGCCTCTATGATCGAGAGAGGAGGAGTTTATATTATTTATCGATGGTGTTTTTGATCGGCAAGCCATATCATCGTTAATTCTTCGACCAATTTCGAAGGCTTCCTTCTCCTTGAGGCAGGCCAAATAGTCCAATCACCCCTCGTAACGCAAGGCATAGGGTTCGCATCCACACAACATTACATTAATTGTAGTACTGTCATTGAATACATGTCTCATTTCGTCGACTTGAGGTCTCTATGATCGAGACAGGATGAGTTTATATTGTATATCAATGGTATTTTTGATCGGCAAGCCATATCATCGTCAATTTTTCACCAAATCTCAAGATTGAGCCACCAATTTCGAAGGATTCCTTCTCCTTCAGGCGGGCAAGGTAGTCTAATCACCCCGAAAATTCAGGCAAACAAGTTATGAAAGAAAAGGAACTTTATTTGCGAATAACTAAAAAATTACACTCTTTTACCTCGGTTATGCCTATGATTATATAAAAGATTACTAAGTTTCCTGCAAAAGGAAAAAAAAATCATCGAAATCGGACAATTTTTAGCAAAGATACAGCTTATTGAAATTTGTAAACATGTTGGATCCAAACATTAATAAGATTTAAATTAATTTTTGTTTCCTTATATTTATCGATAAAATAACAATCTTTTGATACGTTGCATTATTTTATTTTCTTATTAATTTGGTATTTGATAACAATATGCTGTGCGAATTTTTCGCACAGGGCCTACTAGTGTATAAATATTGCAATAGGAAATTTAAGTCTCTACAACTTCTTTCAAATGAATTTCTTTCTCTAATGAATGGCTTAGACAGACAATATGAAGGAATATTAGATGGAAAATGTGAGGCAAATTGATTTTTTTAGAAAACGTCAGTTATTTCCGAGCGTGTAGCTTGAAAACGATTTCGAATTCAGAGAAAAACCTATAGAATAAAAGTTTCAGATAATTTTATGAACTTTAATTTATTACACAACAAATACCGCCAGTGATGCACCATTTTCAAGATATAAGCGAAAATCCAAAAGTTGTGACTTTTTCTCCCACCAATTTACGATTCATTTACAATTATTTCAGATGCCATTGTATTGGAACTTAGTTCTTCTCTCCTTTGTTTTTCTCACCTAGCTCACCTTTCTGGCTAAAAGGGATTTTCCCCAAAGAGAGGGAGGTAAGCTAAGTACAGGGATGGCACAGGAGTGATGAATATTTTAGTTATGAGATAGCCAAACTTGCCAGAATGGAAGGGGCAAAATGGCTGAGCGGGCTAATGCATGTGGTGCACAGCAACGTACATTGCCTGCTGATTCGGGTCAAAAGTAATTAGATAAAAATAATTATGAGTTCGTGTAGCAATGCCTGGGGGATTTTATCTCTGGCATTAATCCCCCCTCTCACACCATGACCGGGGAAAACCCTGTAGTGTAGACTAAAAGACGAGGAAGGGGAGGATATAAAACTTGTGTATTGCAAACCAGTTGGCCTGCTCAGCCACACCATCTCCTCATTGGAATTGAGCTGTGCTGTTTACTTTAGAGTTTGTTTCATGAGTATCATCAGGTCTCCCTCCTCTCCCTTTCAAATAATCACAGGTTTATCCAAATAAAATTTGTGTACTTTTTGAGTTATTAACAAATAAAATTCTGCATTCATCATAACATTTTTTTGCAGTTTTTTTCTGGGTAAGTATGTAATATACATAAATTTAAAGGGCTTCAAGGAGACAACTCTAAGGAATTTTATTACAACTGCAACAACCTTTTTAGCACTACAGTCCATTTTATCACCTTTTGGAAACGAAAGCCCGGATAGTAATGGTATGTATATAAAAACACTCCGGAATCGATTGGAACTTCATATCAAACTTTCAAAACAAACAGTGAAAAACTTCTGAAAATCAGAGATTAGTAACAAACAAACATAAAATTTTATTCATACTTATTGTTTCAGTAATTTAAATTTAAATTAATTTATTTTGTATGTGTAAAAATAAAGTTTCTTTTGTTGTTCCAGCAATAGCATTCAATTAATCGGTTGGTTGAATTTTGTTAAAGATCCTTTCCTTAAGTTGTTTATGTATGTATATAAATTCCAATGTTCATAAAACTTAATGTTTTAAAACAACATTGTTAATTTCATATTTAAACTATCCACAAGTAACTGAACATTATAACAAAAATCTGATTAGAATCAACTAAGGTTATACCTGTCTTTTTCTTGAACTTCTGACTGGGCCTTATAGAAATGATTATTTTTTCTCAGAGCAGATCTCCGCTTAACTTTAGTGCCATCTGGGTTATCTGGTATCACCACATTATTGTCCTGAAAATTAATAAATTTGTCAATTAATTGCAAATGGAATCATACAAGATGTGAAGCAATTTATTAACACTGTCACAGAAAACCGGTCTCTCATCTCCTCTCTGGATCTAGAATATCAGAATAAAATATGGAAGATCACAATTGGGTAACCTGAAGTTAGTATAAGAAATAACGCTGACTTTAATCATAAACAACTAAAAATAAATAAATCTGTATTTCTTTATTTTATTATTTATTTATTTTTTGGAGAGAATTTAGAAACCTTTGTCATTATTATGGGTATAATCAACCTTCAATTTTATACTTTTTAAGTTGAGCACAAACACAGTGTTCATTTCCAAACAAATTTTTTTCTGGGGAAAGTGCTTATTTTTCAGCAATGAAAAATATAATTTTCTGAATAGAAATGATGGTTCAATCATATGATTTGTTGAACCATTAATGAAGTAACCATGTTTCAACAAAAAAGACCGTTGAAAAATAATACATAATAGATACTAGTATACTGCTCTGGTTCTTAAGGAAACCTATTCACTTTTAATTAGCTTTTCAAATAATAAAAACTAGTCTTTATGGCATTAAAATGCTGTTGTGAAATAATCATACCAGGTCTTTAAGTTCAAATAAAAAACTTTAAAACCCAATTTGTCCTGTCTCGATCTATTGAATTACCTCTGTGTAGGCAATAAACTAAGTTTTAGAGAAAAGAAAACTTTATTAAGTTAAATATGAGGCAAAGTATGAAGTAATTTTTCTGTGGACTGTATTAAAGCAGGAGAGGCATATGTAATGTAAAAACTACAATCACCCTTTCTCTTGGCATAAGGCAATTTCTTACATACATTGTCCAGAGCCCTGTCTCTGATGTCTTCCTTCCATGTATCAAGCTGCCAAATGGGTGATCTAAAGTTCTATAGGGAGGTGGTTGGTTATATGTAATTTTGCAACCTGTCACAAGGTAGCGTGCAAGTGCGTATTCACAAAACAACCACTGTTCCAGTTTTGAGGCATAATGAAATTTTTAGACCGATTTCATTTATTTTTTACACAAAACAAATTCTGAGAGTGCGATTCGCTAACCCACCATGAAATTTTGAATTCAACGATGCCCCATTTGAACATACGAGGGTGCATTATCAAAAACAAGCTTGAGGAGTTCACATTTTCTCAGTATAAAAATTACGTCGCTGATCTGAACCCAAAAGACCAATCATTATGGAAAGCTACAAGACATCTTTTAAAGAAAAAAAAAAAAATTCCTTGCCTGATAGAGAATGGAAGATACATTACCAGATAAAAAAAGTGAAAATATTTGCTGACTTTCATTTCCTATACTGTAAATGATAGAGAACAATCAGGGAGTAATGCAGCAAATAACAATATTCATGAGTTCTTAGAATCAACTCATCAACAACGCAACTTGCAATGGAATACACAACTCCAAAAGAAATTCATGCACTAATTGGGAGACTTAAAATAAGGAAAAGTCCTGGTTATGATTGGATCCAAGTCATTTATATTAAAAAATAATCTAGGAAAGCTGTTGTACTAATAACTTCAATTTTTAAAAGTTGTCTACGCAATGATTATTTTCCTAATTCATGGAAGAACGCCAAACTAGTAGTTATGCATAAGCCAAACAAGTAAGCAATTGTAGGTCCATAAGCTTAATACTGATCCCCTTGTAAACTATTAGAATTAGTAATAAAAAAGCGCCTTTCTTCCTTTTATCTATTTATCAAAAATTTTTCCAACTTTCAATTTGGTTTCTACTTTAGTCATTCCACATTGCACAAAATGTCAAGACTGTCATAATTTGTGGTGAACAGATTTGAAATGAAAAAAAAATACTATGGTTATATTCCTTGATTTTCAACAAGGTCTGGCATCAAGGTTTTCTGCATAAATTGAAGCAAGTAAATACTCCAAAATACTCATACGATATTCTTTCTGAATGACTGAACCTTCACTGTCAAAATAAATAATATAACTTCAACCACAAGACAAATTTATGCCGGGCCTCTACAAGCTTCAGTTCTTTCATCCATCCTCTTAAACTTTTATCAGCATGACATCACACAGTCCCCAATTACCTCCATAGCTATGTTCGGCAGTCTTTTCTCAGCAGGAAAACATAATTGCAAGAAATATCCTTCCAACTGACCACAGCAATTTAGAGCATTAAGTAAATGTATATGTAATATCATTAATTATAAAGCCTTTTACTATGAAAGTGTAACTTAAATCTCCACCTTTGATATGACTTCTTTTTTTTAGTTAAATCACATTTAACAAAAAATTTAAACCAACTAAGGAGCATATATGGAAGAGAGTAGAATTTTGAGGGGTTAACTTGCTTTTCCATTAATAGAAAGAGAATAAAAACAAATTTGAAAAAGTTTTAAGAATTTCTAAGAAAATTGGATGTTATACACTGTGTTCCATACAGCCAAGTATTAATTTATGAATTAGTCCTTTGTAACTTTGTTTTAATGCTTAAATTTTCAAACTTACTTACAAATTAAATATTTAATTACAATAAAATATGTAATTTTGTGCAGCAAAAATATAAATATATAAATCAGGATGCCTTAGTTAGTGAAAATTAATCTATCCTAAGCCAGAGGAAAAATAATGCATTTGAAAGAGAATACAAACTCTAATTATTTTAGTTTCAAAATTTATTTTAAGGTCATGAAATTGTTTTTCATTATAACAAAAATTAGATCAGTACAATGTTAAAATCAACTTGTTCAAAATACTTACATTATTTAATTCCATCATTTTCAGAATACTTCGGTCCAGGAGGGCTTCATAAAGTTTCCTTTGAACTGTGGTTAATGGACAATAAACTACAACTTCTTTTTTAGGCGGAAGAGAGAGATTAACTTCAGACTTTACCCGGCGAAGCAAAAATGGATTGAGTATCTAAAAATATATAAAAATAAATTAATCAAAACCAGACCATATATTTCCAATTGATTTTTTTATTATAATTTTACTAAATTAATTACATTCCTAATATAATTACTAACGAATATTTAGATAAACCATATGAATTGTCAAAGTTACAAGCACTGCAAAAACGTGGCAAAGCACGTGACATTGTCAGAATTCCATACAAATTTTATAAATATAGTTCAGATAACTACTTGGAAGAACTAATATCATTGTATAATAATATATATGAATCTGGATATATACCAGAAATCTATAATTTTTCCACTGTTTAAGAAAAATGATATAAATAATGCACAAAATTATGGAATTTCATTTTTAAATACAATATCAAAATTATTCACTGCAATGTTACTTCAAAGAATAACAACATGGTCAAATACTAATAATATATTGTGCAAGAATCAAGCTGGTTTTAGAAATGGGTATAGTACAATAGATAATATTTTCAACCTAATAAATATAATAAAAACTGAAATTGTGAAGAAAAGAAGCAAAATATTTTTTTATTGATTTTAGTTGAGCATTTGACTCCTCAGATAGAAACGCAATATTTTATAAATTAAATGAAATTGGCTTTGGAAATAAAATTATTCGAATATTGGAAGGGTTATATAAAAACATTGAAGCCACGATTTGGACAAAAGAGGGCTTGACCATATCATTTGAGGTTAAATCTGGTCGAAGACAAGAATCTCTCCTTTCACCAATGTTACTCAGTTTATTTATTAATGATTTCCCAAAGTGTATGGGAAGGGGTTTGATATTGGAGGGAGAATCGATAAATTGTCTTATGTTCGCAGATGACAAAGTATTACATGCCAATGAACCATCAACAATTCAACAAACGCTTAATAAAGTAGAAAGCTATTGTGATATATGGGGACTAAACGTTACTTTGGAAAAATCTAAAATAATGATATTCCGGAAAGGGGGTAAACTATCGAAAATAGAAACTTGGAATTATAAACACCTAAAAATTCTAATAGTAAAAGCCTATAAATATCTTAGATTTAAGATTACTCTGCAATTATCCATACAAAAGCATTTGGTAGAATTTAGTGTTTTAAGTACATGGAAAAACTACTAAATAATAATAACATTCCACTTAATTCTAAATTCAATGTGTATAATTCAATATCCAGAGCTATTGTAAGTTATTTGGCAGAAACATGGGGTTTTGAGTTCCCAAAAGAAATGGAAAGATTTCAAAAGTTTTCTTAAAAAGGCTGTTTTCACCTCCATACAACTGTCCGGACTATGTGTTGTATTTAGAGACAGATAACGAACCACTAAAACATTTTACATACAGACTACATCTACGATACATAAATAAAATTCTAACATTCTCAAACAATCATTTTCTGAAAATAATAGCTGACTATATAATCAAAAATAATTTACTTTAGCATAAAGAAAATATAGATATTTATCAAATATTAACCCGGCAAAACCACTTTAATTACAGCCATTAACAAATATATAAACTATTAGTGGCAATGCAAAATGATTTCAAGAAACAAATTATAAATAAAGTAGGTTCTGCAAAATTTCATCTTATATATAAATAATTAAATTTCCAACTTGGTGACACACATTATATTTACGACCACCGAAAACAACATTTTATGAATACCATAATTAGACTCCGAAGTGAGCATTTAGGATTAAATTATTCCATTGATAGATCTGAATATCAAGTGTTCTGCTCTATGTGCAACTTAAAAGAAATAGAAGATATTATACCTTTCATTGGTAAATTCCCTGTGTTAAAAGAATTCCGAAATATCTATTTGGGAAAAAAATTACTTAATAGCTCTGAAGTAATGAATTATTCTAATGAAAAGGACTGGGACAGTTTACATAAATACTTGACTATTGCATTCAAATATAGAAAACAAATGATAAATGAATTCAACTATTAATATTTGTGCATTTATAATAAACAGAACTTACGTTTATGTAAATATTTATGGACTGGATGATGTTGAATTATTATTACAATTTACATTAATATTATTATTGATTACAATTATTGTTTATATATTGTGATCTATTATTATTTATATTGCTGTATTGTTGTTATATTATATGTATTCGAATTTTATATGAATTTGGTCTTTAGAAAATGGGAACTACGTATATGTATGCTCATAATGCCTTGCAATTTATATAATATTTATATTTAGGTATAATTTTTGTCTCCCGTTCTGAGAAGCAAATCTTGTAATATTACATATTATGATTTTTATTAAAATGTTTGTAAGTTATCCTCTAAAGTCACAAAAAAAAATTTTATCTTAGCCTTTAGTAAGGCATATTGTTATAATGTAATTTATTTTGGTAATCGAAATAAAACACATTATTATATATTAAAATTTCACTATGATTATTCAATCAAATAAATATTCACATTGTCATAAAATACCTTATGAAGAACAGCTAATATATGATCTTTTTTCTCCTGTTCTATCAGCTTTTCAGCAGTATCACCTTTTTCTATGTCTTCAACCTGGAACCAACTTTGAAAGGCATCCAGGGAATCAAAAACTTCAGGTAACAAAAAATGAAGAAGAGACCATAATTCCATCAAATTGTTTTGCAAAGGAGTTCCAGTGAGAAGTAGACGATTGACAGTACTAAATTCACTTAAAGTTCTAGAAAATATTATTTAAATTATTAAAATATTATTCCTTAACTACTAATTTACAATATAAATATTATATAAACTTGTTATAATCTCAATGCTTTTTCTTTGTTTTGTAGTGATTTGATCTAGGCTGATTGAAAATTAATTATCTGCAACATTTATTTCTAAGTATCAATATAAATTAACGAAATCTAAAAAAAAAAATTATAACATTAAAATTTCATAATAAAATTATTTCATACTTTGCAAGTAATAAAAACAGCGAGTGTACAAAAAATCTAGAAACCACAGAAAAAGAAGATTCTACAATATTTAAAAAAGACATGGGATCGAAGCCTCAAGAACCGCCAAAACATAACCTACAATTATATAAAAAAAGAGTTTTCACAGACTAAAAATGTTAGTTATGATGAACTCTTTCCTTTTATAATGTTTAAAAATGGCAAATGGGTAATGCTAAAGCCTTCAGTGTCAGCCATTTACCATTTTTCTCAATTTTTTATACTTACATTATAGGTTATATTCTACTAAAAAAAAAAAAAAAAAAAAAAAAAAAAATACGCAATTACATATATAAACAAATACATAATACAATAAAATTTTAAGAAACAGATGCTGACAGTGATGAACAAATTCCAATCAATACTAGACTCTCATCCCAGTCTTAAATAAAAATGACACAAATTCATTCATTGTCATGGAAGGATTTTTCCAAACATCTTCATAATGGATAGTATCCTTATTCGCAATTGATTTTAACTTTATCATAAATATATATCTTGCTGAATTGAATGCAGTCAAGAATTAAATTTTCTTGATTTGATTAATTTGATTGTAACTAAAATCAATGGAATTAACAAGATAGTCCAAATTACCTGGCAAGTTGTGACTTATAATTTTTAAGCCGATGTCCTTCATCAACAATTATATACCGCCAACGAATTTCTTTCATATGGTAATGATCTCTAGTAGGAATTTCGTATGAAGTCAAAACAACAGGATAGGCTTTTTTGCCATTTATGTAAGATTTTTTCTTTATATCCCTTCGTAAAGCTATTCTATCACTTTCTGTCCCATGATAGAGAATCACAGGAATCTGAAGAAGAAGCAAAATGTATTTCACAACAATTAAGTTGAATTAATTTGTAAAAAGACATGATAACTAGAATGAATGGTTCATTGAAGAAATATGATATAATATTGTAAACTAAAAATTTATCAATATAAAAAATTTTGTCATAACATGTCACCAACAAAATAATTGTTTTTGTATTTAAAACTTGTTCTGCCATGCAAAATAGAAAAAAAATCTGGTGCGGAGTGCGCATCACCCAACTTTCACTTATCATCCTACTTTGAGTAAAAACAGATCTTTTCATCATTTACTGTTTTAAGCTCAAAACATCAAGTCATTACTGCCCGATTAATAAAGTAATACAACTATTAAAATATTTAGCTGGTAAGAACTGAAAGTAAAAATCATAGATAGTAGGTATATTATTTTAAATAATCTGGTGAGTTGCGCGCATCACACAACTTTCACTTACCACCCTCTTAGCAGAAATAAGTATTTTCAGAGAAAGGGGAAGTTTATGAAAAACGCATATTTATATTTATATAATATTGTTAGAGTTAATATTATATTAAACTCATGTTATTTATGAAAACTTCTAATCTTTCGGGCGAATTCAGGTGCGCTCGTATTCCTTTGGTTCCTCAGTTACAATTATTCTCTGTTACGATCTCTTATTTCACCTTTAGTTAATTATCAAATCCTTTCATATTCTATATTTAACTATCTTTTATATTACAGATTAATGCGAAATGACCAATTGTTTCAAATAAAAAAATTTAAAGTACTTTAGAGGAAGCTAATATTGAAAATTAGCCATTTAAGCCGCGTTAGAGAAAATCAATCAGAATAAAAACTACATTTTATTTAAAATTGCTTAATTTTATACTGGCATAAAGAAATTTAACCAAAATCGTTAGAAAAAATCATAAAAAAATGTTGTCCATTATATAAAGTGGCACGTTCTAAGTCTAAAGAAAAAAAACTTGCTCAACCTATAATAACCGTCTTCATGATTATAATGGGGATGGGCATCATTCTATCTTTATCGTATAGTAGACCTATTTATGGAAATGGCCTACTGAAGAGTTTGAGGGAATGCAGCTCCTTCCTTTGCCAGTTGTTCGGCTATTTCATTTCCATTTAGTCTTCAGTGCCCCATTATTCAGTTCATCCTATCTAAATTCCACCAGATTCTTTAAAAGAGGTAAACAGATCTGGTTAGGGAGAATTTGAAGATTAGAGAGAGATAATAAAGTCAGTAGTAGACAGAGAGATTAGATATTATAAAGAAAGTAGATACACAGTAAGATAGATTAAGAAGAAAGATAGATATTACATCACATTACAATAGTTCTCTTTGGACAATAAGGAAAAAGAGTGTGACAGGAGAAAACTAGGAAAAATAGAGTGTAGTGATAGATTACCGCAAGCTAAATGAAAATGCAGTTGACAACAAGTATCCAATCCTCTGGTTTGAAGACATCTTGAGTAAGCTGGTAAGCTGAGTGGAACAACGATATTTAGCACATTTGACTTAAAAGTGGGATGCCATAAACTAAAAATGCATCCAACAAAACAGACCAGCATAAAACAGTGTTCACATTCACATTATGAATTCACTAGGAAGCCATTTGGACTAAAGAAAGTCCTTAGACCATTTTAGGACCTATGTGTTAGGAAGAAGGTTCCAAGTCAACACTGATCACCCTTACAATGGGTAGGTAAGTTGAAGGATTCCTCAGCAAGGTTCACATGTTAACCAGTTTAACATGGATATAATATACAAGCCAGGGAAAGAGAAAGTGGTAGCCGAATGGCTGTCCAGGGCTTTAGCTGTAAATGCCATTGAAGGGGAGAAGGGAAAAAATCCAGAGATGTTCAACAATAATTAATTTTACATAATGATAATCTGGTGAAATTGTTAATCAGATGACATAGTATTCAGCTGAAATAAGGTTGAGAATTTAGTAAACTAAAGGCATATTTTTGAAAGTGAATAACTTGATGATTTATTTTATATCTAATTTATGACTTCAAAAATAACAATTTTTAAGACTTAGATGTTTTGTGCCAGCAGTTTGTACACAATCAAGTAGCAATTTGCTGTAAAAATTATTGAAGGTGACAAATTTTGGCAACTGAAGTAGCACATGAAGTTAATTTGTAGATGCCCAAGATTAAGGTTTTCCTTATCAATATATATACAATAAACACCCCACACCTTACACCCCAAGAGCAAAGAGAGTATAGAGAGACTACACAACACCCTCAGTGATCACCTGAAGGTATATACGGTAGAGAAAGGACTGGATCTGGATATGACAATGCGGATGGCAGTGGCAACATATAATAATTACTCTATACACTCAGTACAGGGTTCTCACCATTTAAAGTCATTTTTGGGTTATGCAGCAACAAGATTGTTGGGATACGGTGGCGAGAAATTAATTAGTAAAAAAATAGAAATTGCATGGGAAAACCTGAAAGTGAAAGATTTAATAGGAAAAATAAAAATCGGATCAATCTTACATCACAAGATAGGGTCTAACAGGAGTATAGAATTGCTGCGGTAAAAGGGCCCATTCAAAGTGATAATATTAAGGCAGTATAATATTGTAATCATTGAAAGTATGAAAGTACCGAGGAAAAGAAGGACAATGGTTCATACTGAACAGGTAAAACTCCTAATCATAGTCAGAGTAACTGTAGAGAACATGACTATTTTCTATTATAAGTAATATTATTGATATAAAATTTATAAAAACGTTTGTAAACTGGCAGAGGGAGGGGTAGGGAGAGGAGAGTTATGGACCGGAATTCAACGGTATAAGTCATCATACCAGTCCATAACCAGACTTTAGACAATAATGCCAACACATGTTGAATTTAATGTGCCTTATTTTCTAATTTTGCTATTATTTTTGTTGTCATGTTTGAATAAAGTAGTTAGTATATATAGTGAACATTTATTTTCATTAATATAATGTAATTACATTAATAAAGCATTCACGAACTGACATTTCAGAGATCTCCTCCAACAATAGTTCTATTCTTTAATAATTATAACACATAATTGATAATTTTCCCCAGAACTAAAATCCATACAAAAATATTTAGTTAAAATAATTAAATAAAATACAATTTAAAAAATAAAAATAAAAAATGTCCTATTCTGGGGAAATTCCATTGGCTTAATATCTCAGTTACACACTCATTATTTGTTTTAGAGGGACAACCAAACCTGCCCAGGCCAAATTCAAACTGTCATAACTAAACTCAGGAATGTTAAAACAGACATTCTAATATGCTTGGCCATCATGGCCTCAATAGCTTTAAAAGTCTCAAAGGGTACTTTGTGTCTAGAGGTCTGTTTTGAAACCTCAGTTCTTATCTATCTTATCTAACGCCACGTCACATAACCTCCCTCTTCTTGTCCCGCCAAACTTTTGAGTTATTGCATTGTTTAGTTTTCAGTTATTCCCTTATTACGTTCACTTATTAAATTGTTTACTTTTGGCCCGTTTGTGTTTATTTTTCATTATTTTTAGTTTTTGGCCCGTTTGTGTTTATTTTAAATTTTTTTTTAGTTTGTGGCCTCTTTGTGTTTATTTTCATTTTTTTTTCCGTTTATTTTCGTCATATTACGGATCTTCTTAGAATATGGGATTTACCATCTTCAGAAGAACAGGCAATTCAGTATTTTCAAAATGTTGGGGTACTTGCCGACGTGAAATTGTGTGAACGAGGTCATCGAATTATTGACGAGGAATCTAATAATTGACAGAAAGGCAACAACCTTATTACAAGCCATTAAAGAAAATATAGAAGAGGGAACAACTATTTATTCGGACTGTTGGAAAGGATACAACATCCAACAACTGAACGAAGCAAACTATGACCATTTCCAAGTGAATCACCGGTATAATTTTGTAGACCCATCAACTGGGGTTCATACTCAACACATAAAACGACTATGGGGTGGTTAGGATAAAAAAGTTAAATGTGTTTTTTTATTATTTCATTTTGATGTTTTATATGTACATATCTTCTTAAAGTGTTTTTTTATTATTTCATTAATATATGTGTCGTCAAATAAAAGTATTTTTTTTGTTATTACATTTGTTTTTGTATCTGTTAACACTTTCAATAATACGAATTTAATACGAAGATAAGAAGTAGGAGGAGGCTTATCACTGCTTTACGGGAGTTATCAGTGTTCAGGTTATAAACATTGGCAGATAGCAGTCAGGAGCGGCCCCCTGGACACAAAGTACCTCTCAAAGATAACTCCAGTACAACTGATTGTAAACCAATGAGCGTTTTGTAATAAAAACATAGTGAAATTTGACTGTTTCTACAATTTTTATAAAAGCAGAATTTTTATGATCTTATTTGTTATTGCTAATCATAAATCACGTAAATAGGATAAATATAAGAAATACCTGAGGGGCAAAATTGGAAAATTCTAAGGACCAATTTGGCAAAGTTGAAAGAGGACCAACAATTAAGAATGGTCCCTGAACATTTTTTTCATAAAGATGGCAGATGAGAGCAATAATCTGAACTGTTTTACCAAGGCCCATTTCATCAGCCAGTATACCATTCAAGCCAGTTTCAAACAAGAGCTGTAACATGATGATAAAAATAATAAATAAATAATTCCATAAATAGTTAAAAATTTATGACAATACTTTGTAAAATTATTGTATAAACAGAGGATCACAAAAGTAAAAAGCAAAACAACTAACCCGTAACCATTCAAGGCCCGCCTTTTGATAATCTCTTAAAGCAGCACCTTCCAAAAGGACAGGCTGATCAGCGGGTACTTCAATTCCAAGAGAGGTTATTCTTGTTTCATTTATATCACATTTCTTTTCTATGACAACTTCTTCGTTTTTATTTTCTGCTTTAGATTCTAAATTTGTATCTGTATTCTGGAAGAAAAAAATATATATATAAGATGATTTGGTTGTCAGTGATAATTCAAAGTTAAAATTTAAGGCAAAATGTTACCTCTGAAACTATACTTAAAGGTTCAATTTTTTCACTCCCATCATTACGTTTAAATTTTTTACAAACATCAATCATTTCCTAAAACAAAGAAAATACATAAATTTAAATTGTGAGAAACATTCAATTACACAAAATATATTAAAAATATAAAAAGTTACATTAGAATAATTTTCAGCTAGTTCATCATGTTTTCTTTTGGCTGTATTTTTTCCTCTTCCTTTTTTCTTACTGAAAAAAAAAATTATATGAATTCATAGACAGTAGCATTAAACATAAATAGAACTAATCATGGCATTCTAGAACATCACAAATCATAAGTGCATTATTTTAAAACTTTATTTTCTCTCCCCAAAATGTATAGAAATAAATGAAAGAGTATTAATTATTATTAACACAAACTATACTATACTGTGATGTAGAGATGGTTGACCGTTGATATAATATGAGAAGGAGTTAGTCGAGGGTGCGGTCAAATAAGTAATAAATTAAAATATATTAATTATTTTAATTATTAATTATTTAATTAAAATAATTAATATATTTTAATTTATTACTTATTTGACCGCACCCTCGACTAACTCCTTCTCATATACTATACTGTCTTCTATCACAGAATTATAAATAAAAATAAACTATGAAATGATTTAAAAAGTGACGAGTTGGGTCAAACACGAATTTTCATAGATCGAATCCAAACATAAATCAAATTCGAATATAAGTTGAGCAATTATTTTGTTGAAGAGAATTGCAGGGCAAAAACTTTAAATAAACTAAATTGCCACAAACACTCACTCACAGATATAAATGATCATAAAATATACACTTTTCAGGTTATACATAGTTTTCTTTTCTTCATAACTTTTTTAGTATTTTTCATTTCGAACATACCCACAATATAATATACATAATATAAAGTTAAGAAAATGGTATGTTATTTCAAAATTACTTATCAGTATATAAAAAATAGTTCGTACAAAAAACTTATAAACTTAGTTCTTTTAATGTTGTGTCTCTTGTTTCTCATTGGTTTATCTCATGTATCATCCGTCACTTTTTACCATTACTGACTTTTATCTATTTATATATATTTTATCTCTGTAATTTAAAAAAATGTTCAGCCCTGATGATGAGTGACATGCCTGGGTTAAAACGTCAGCAACAATTAAAATCTTAAAATGACTGCGTCTAATTAATTTAACTATTAATTTAACTAACTATTAATTTAATCAATGATTCATGGGCAATGATAATATTTTAATCACCTGTTATTACTTTCAGCCAAAAGTGTAGCAACCTTTTCATGCATAAAGTTTGCATAAAATTGACTTTTCTCGAGTAAATGAATCAGCCGCTTGTATCGTAATTGTTTCATTTCTTCGGCATGTTTTTCTTTCTGAAAAAAAAAAAAAATATTAACATCCCAAGCACTTAAATGTTAATAAAATAACTATAAATTACTTACATAAATAAAATTCATAAAACTCCTCAGAACTTTTAATATGGCTAATATCCTATTCAGAACTAGAAATGATGCAAATCCAATTCTATAAATATTGATAAAATCAAATTTTTCAAGAAAACAGCAGGTCAGTAATAAATAAAATGCAGAATATATAATCATATTACATGAAGTTGACATAATGTGACAAAAGTGGGAGTGAATGAAAATATGCTTGCATTAGGGATAGGATACAGAAGGACCAATTACGATATTTTCATAAATATTAATATCAGCCTGTAACTATCAATATCATCAAAATATCAGAGTTGGAATATCGATAGTCAATATTTCCATCGATATTATGAACAACTTTGAAATATAAATATTAATTCTCTAGCACATAGGAGCATCAAAACAGATTTTCCTGTTTAAATTAATTAATGGAAATATCAATTCTTCTAACCCTCCATAGTAAAATTAATTTTCTAGTTCTTGTTCATCTTCCTCATTCCCAGCTTTTTTCCATTCAAACAATTATGCCTCCTATTTACTCACAGATCAGATTCAGCCAAATGCTAATTTATTTGCATCCTACATAGATTTCTTTGACAATCCATGGCCTTGGTTTAAGTATATTCTGATTAATAAATTCAGATAAATTGAGTTTACTGAGTGAAAAAGGTCCTAAACGTGCTATTCAAATTTGCTTAGATATGGCCATTGATAGTCTAAATTATCGAAATATCGATATTTTCCTATATTATGCACTACATTCTATATGAAACAGACAAGATGAGTATAATTTTTATTCTAACGATCAGATTTATATATAATTCCTTGCCCTATCCGAAAACAATAATTTTAATTTTGGTTTCTTTAAAAGAAATTATGACATACGGAATTTAAATTAAATTATCGGGGAAAAAGTGAATAACTCCAATATTAGAACAATTTTCTCAGATAAATGTTGCTTTCTAGAGTTTAAACAATGGCTCTTGATCTAAACAATAAAGAGTTAAGACTGATGTGGATAACAAAGTAGTGAAATATGAACAATAAAGTTGAATTATTCAGAGGACAAAAATTACCAACACAACGGATTGGTCCCTTGGCTTATTGCTAATTGAAATTAATGCTAATTTAAATATATATTACATCAACAATGTCTGCATGGTTAAATCAGTCTCCTATTAAGAAGGTAAACACATTTTTAAATTGTAAGGTTTATCATTTTTATAAACATTTGAATTGTTCGAAATCATATGTTTATAAAATCATAGCAATAAGCCAGTGACTGAGTAAAATTTTATTAATTTAAAAGTACTTTGAAGAATATTCTCTCTGTGAAATCGAAATAATTTAAATTTACTCTGTTTTCAATATAAGATACACTTACTCTGTTTTTGCCTCAATAAATAAGGCCTAAATCCACAAAAATGTACTTAAAAGTTTGGTTGCAACAAAAATGTATTTAACGACTTTCTGTAGTAAACCAACAAAATAATTTAATTTTTTTTTTTAACAATCATCTGTTATAAATCTTTTAGGAGTAAGGTATCTGAAATTTGTACACCAAATATCACTGAAATTTGTATAGCAATATATACACAACATTCTTTAACAATATGTTTGTAAAATAAATACTGATTATACTAACAAGTGGATAGAGACCAAATAAAATTTATTACTTTAATGTTATCTTGATAACTGGTTCATTATTAAGTTAGCCTTTAGGTATTGTTGAACCATTTTTTCCATTTCCTTTTATTTAACAAAATTTAATTGAATTATAAGATTCATAATTATTGTCACTATAAAGTTATTGTGCTAAATAATCAAAAAATAAGTACAAGAAATTCTAATCATTGTCAGGCAGAAACATAAACATAGTGTTCATTTCGATATTTGGTGTATCACCAATACATAAGTTAATAATTCAAAATAGTGCAAGGAACTGTGGATTTCCTTAAATCAGAAACATAAAATTGTGGTTATTAAGCATCTAATATGACCCGAGTATTTGGGAAGTTAATACACACAATTATTTATAAATAGAAAGATTCGGAAGTTGGTTGGGGGTTACAGTTAGAAAGAACATAAAATAAAAATAAAAGATTTTTATTTTATTTTCTGCCTAATGTAGAAAATAAAAAATAATCAAAATCATTTTTAAAATTAGTAACAATGATAATAAATTTAAAAAAAATAAAATCTTTAATGCTATTTGTGTGTTCTCCCTGATTAAACTCCCAACAAACTTCCAAACTATTCAAACAGAAAGGTTAAGACGTAAGTCGTCTTCTTATGTCATGCTTTTGAAAACATTTGGCTAGTTTTAGCATTAAGCAAACAGGATGATCGTGGGAAATTTGTTAAATAGTAACAAATAACAAAAGACACTTCTAAAGCTTTACAGAAACATTAATAAACATAAAGCTTAAAAGTGAACTGAAATGCACCATTTCTTAAATATGAAATAAATATAAACATTAACCTTCCATCTAAAAAACAAGCAAATAAAATTGAATAAGAATTAATGATTACTGAATAAATCAAACCATACCTCATACAACCTCCGTAATTTCTGGGCTTCTTTCTCATTGTCTTCATGAAGTTTTTGTTCCTCTTCAATCATTTCAGGGGTGATTATCGAATTATCAACTGAATTTTCATCAATTCCAGAATCCGCTAAACATACAAATTTCTTTGATTATTCTGTTAATATTATATACTAAAGCAAAAAACATATATTTAAGGAATAAGAAATTTCTCAAATTAAAGTTATCGACTTTTGAAAAATTAATTTTAGGCCTGAATTTCTTAAATTAAATTTGCTGGTGGGGAATGTATAACATTACAAAATTTATAAGTGATTTATGTGGAACAATTATAGAATCTTGAGATCTTTTTAAATATGTGCTCACATCTTTCAATGGTAAATAATTCTGGACCAGTTATCTTAACTGTAAAATTACTTAATTTTAAAAGAAACAATGCAATAAAACCTAAATAATAAATCAAAATAGGACACTCTACTAATCAGCAACTAAAATAATGAATGAAAGATAAAACATCTAAAATCAGTTAACTTTTTAATAATCATAAAGCATGTATGTATTTGAGTAGCTATTTTCTTTTTGTTTAGTTTAGTTTATATACATTTAATTTTAGTTATTATTTTTCTGTATTATTTATTTTTATTTACTGTGAATAGAGAATGAATGTGCACTTTGAACACTATTACAAATGTCCTTAATTGTGACAGATTGTAATATCTCTCAATAAATATGTTTTAAAAAATCACATAATTAAAAGATTTGACATTATAATAGAAAGAAATGATATGGAACTTAAGTCCAATCAAACAATTAAAAACGGATACAATTTAATACTTACAAGAAAGAGCAATCATCTCCTCATCTCGAATAGTGGTTTCCATTATACAAAAATATTCAGGTAACTTAATTTACTAACACAAACAAACCTGTATAGTACAGCACAAAAACTAACAATTGATCCTTCTTCAATTTTTGGAGGGACAACTTTCCCGGTAACAGGATCAACAGATGGTATCTTACAAGGAGGTAATATTTTTTATGTATAGAAGATGCGCCCTTATCTGTATCACAACTTTCTTTTTAATAATAAATTGGATTGATTGAACAGGATTTGAGATATTTCAACAAACAACGTTTAAGATATTTCATTGCAACTTATTACTCTAATAAATAAATCAAATACTTGATGACTTTACTTTTACTATCGTTATCCTAATAATATACTAAACAAAATTTAAATGAATTAAATGTTTCTCATATTATTGTTTGACTTATTTAAGGAAAAAAGTTTAAATATTTTATTGATTAGATATGTATGATTAGCTAAAACATTAGATGGTAACATTACATGCAATATATTCAAGCACTCAGAAATATAACTAGGAAATATTAAGCTCAATTACCGCAATCAGGTACAGTATGTTTAATAAATGCCCCTTTAAACAAACTACTATTATTTTTAAAACATTTATCATCATGAAGATATAAAGACATTATTGACAATCAACCTATATTTCAGAATGGGATTTATAGAAATAGGAATGTGAGAAGACTGTACTGTAAATATTCTTACCTGAAAACAGCCTAATGGATACTTTTCTTTTCAATTTTTTTTTATCTAATCTCAAATACATTTTAAGCCGTGCTAAATATATTTTTTTAGTGTGAAACTGGAATTGGATGCGAAAGATAAAAAAAGAGAACAAGATGACAAAAAAAAATTTTGTGCAAGTCAGCAGTAACAAAAACGAAAACAAGTTTTAAATTTTTACGAATTTAGAAATGTTCTAAAAGAATTAATATCCTTAACATTTTCCAATCAACAAGTTGCTTATTGGCAAATGATAAATGTTATGAAACCCTAGATGGACATAATCATAATCAATGATTAGGATTACAGCGATCCTGATTAAGTAGTTACAGTAATTTGGTCATAGATTACGATTGTAATCAGGTAATCGTGTCACATTTTTTCTATATCGAATTGAGTATAAAATTTGCATGGTCACTAAGTTTTATATTCAGGTTTAATCATGTAATCATTGATTCCGATTTTGCCCATCTCTGTATAAAACTTTATGGAACGGACAGGAATTTTACGCACTATCATTGTCATGTTTCGTTTTACTACGAACTAGCTGCGTGTTTCAAAATATAAGATGCCCCGTGAGATGTTGGTTATAAAAATGTAACAAGTTATTTATCTATTTTCTACATTCGATAAATAAAAAAAAGATTAAAAATAGTATTTACAAAGATCGAAGGTGTGCGAATACTAGATTGATCCACTGAAAATTTAACTTTGTTCGTTCTCTATTTTTAAATACCATGTGATTTTTATGATAATAATGTTTTTTATAATTCTACTTTGTTTATTTACTGAAGACAACTTCCAATCCGAAAATATCACTAATATTTTGTTTTGTCATCTTTTAATGAACACCAATTGTCTTTAAATATTTATTTAACATTAAGACCACAGCTAATATTCAGTTAATTCATAAAATAAAAACATCTAATTTATCTCTTTACTAAACCTTTTATAAAAAAAAAAGTGTTGTAAAAATATAATATCTTTTTTAAATATTTGTTTAAACTATTTTTTTGTAATAATCAACATAAGTGAATTTCTTAAGTAATAGCAATTTTGGATACATAAATTTTTATTTACATATAAATTTTTAGGTAAATTTAATAAGAATTGGATATATTAGGGATTCTTCTTCAACTTCACTTTCTGGGTCTATGCTTGAAGCGGAAATGGAAAGTTATTTAAGTATATATTTAGACGGTCCAATAAATAATTTTATTTAAAAAATGAACTTCATGAATAAATCTATCTAAATAAGATAATTTAAATAAATTTAATTGTATTTGTTACATATTATTTAATGGCTGCATTCGGAAAGAAAGGGTTGGATATAAAGCAAGAAAAACGCAAATGCGAAGAGAAGATGCTTTCTGACGGCATCTGAAGAAAGTATATTGAACATCTGGAAAGAACTTTTTCAGGAACTTCTCAATCAAAGGAACACCACGAACGAAGAAGATGTGGACCACATTGAGAAAGATGATCCAGAAGAGGTTGAAAAACCAGATATACTGGATGTAGGAATAGCTTTCGTAAGGCTCAATACAAGAAAGGCTCCAGCGACAGACAACCAATTTTCAGAACTGTTTAAAAATGGAGGAGGCGACTTAACAGCCTACCTACTAAAACTAATCCAGAAAATATAGGAAGAGGAAAGGATACCTGAGGCTTGGAATAGAGGCCTAATCTGTCCTATCCTAAAGAAAGGCTTCATGTATCAGTATAGAAATTATAGAGGCACAGCACTCTTTCCAGTTGTCTACAAGATAATGATCAATATCCTACTAAACCGGGTATATCCGTAATACAAGAATATAACAGGTGACCACCAAGCTGGATTCAAAAAAGGGAGGAGCACGCTAGACCAAGTCTTCATCCTAAAATAAGTACTCGAAAAACGATGGGAAGTAGCTCAGGATTTCCACTCCATATTTGTCGATTTCAAAGCAGCCTATGATTCTGTAGATAGGAGCTGTCTTTGGAAAATCATGACAACTGGGAATTTCCGGTAAGTTGATGAGATTGACAAAGATGTGTACAAATGAGCCCAAATGTAAAGTTCTAATTTCAAAAGTATCTGAAGCCTTCAAAGGTCGAACGGGCTTACGGCAGGAAGGTGGCTTATCACCAATGTTTTTCAACTTAGCCCTGGAGAAAGTAATAAGAGTACAGAAAAATGGAGGAGTCCACGACGGAATGAGTCATAAAATCCTTGGATACGCAGATGATATAGCTGTACTGAGAAGTAATCAAGAGGACATTGAGAAACTCGCTGATAAGAGAGACAGAGCATATCGGCTAGCAAGTAAATGAAGACAAAACAAAATATATGATAATAAGCCGAAAATAGCCAATAATAATATATGCGTAAAAGGAAAATCATTAACGAGAATAGAAAAATTCAAATACCTCGGCTGCAAAATAATCTCAATGAATGACCAACGGGCAGACATAGACAGCGTATAACTAACGCAGACAGAGTTTTATTCACCTTCTCAAAGGTATTGAAATTCAAAAAAATCTCAAATTAAAGGTGTACAATGCTATAATAAAGCCAGTTCTAATATATATATATATATATGAGACCTGGACACCAAACAGCACCCTAGAAAACAGTGTTGAAAGATTTGAGAGAAAAACCCTCCGTACGGAGCGATCTGGGATCAGAGTACTAACACATGGGAAAGAAAGACCATTAAAGAACTGCTTACAGAAACTTGTCAATCAATATGACTTGATATGAACGCACGGAGGTTAAGATGGACGGGGCATGTACCTCGTAGCAAGCCAAGACCTGCTCCGCCTCATAAGACACCGTCCTGAATGGTCTGGAGACTCAAAGCAGAGCCATCCGATTCTATTGACCGCCAGAAGCTGTATAATATTTTAATCGAGGAGGGGATTCCTAAAAAAATAGTAAACCTAGTTAGGATGTGCTTGACGGAAACTCTCAATAAAGTTAATCGGTAATTAGTTATTAATTTAATCAGTAATTATTTATCCAAAAAGTTTGAGGTGCGTTCAGGCTTAAAGCTAGGTGATTCCCTTTCACTTGTCATGTTCAATTTGTCATTAGAACATACCATTAGGGAAGTAATGCCTACCGAAAAAGGTTGGATCTGGGTGGGACAACACCCGTGCTTGGCTATGTGGATGATCGGGTCCTGTAAAGCGAAGACAAGGAAACTATAAAACTAAATATGGCAACATTAATGAAAGCCGGTAAAGACCAAGAACTAGAAATAAAATCGGACAAGACAAATTATATGGATAGCTGCAAAAATGGCAATTATTCCGGTGTTATCGATATAAAAGGTTGTATTTTTGTGCAGGTAGAGAATTTCAGGTATCTAAGATCCACGATAATTAGAAAAAATCGAAATTAAAGCGGAGATGAAGATTAGGCTTAAGGCGAGAAATGCTTGTTATTGTTCAGTGACAAAATTACTTAGCCTCCTGTTCCGGAACTTAAAAATTAGAATCTATAAAACTATTATCCTGCCTTGGTTCTTTATGGATGCGAAAAGTGAATGAATAACGTCTTAAGGTTTTTGAAAATGAAATATTGCGTGGAATATTCAGACCGAAGGATGAGTTTACCCGAGAGCTCAGACGGTTATACAACGCCGAATTGCATCTGGTATATATAATTGAGGTTATTATATAGCGGCGAATTAAATAGGCTCGTAAAATTATTGGACTTAATAACGAAAAAATTCCTAAAAGGTTAATATTTGCCATGCTGGCTGGTGAATGTCCGAGGGGTAGACCGAAGCGAAGATGGGAAGATTGCGTTAAGGCCGATCTGAAATGACTGGGTTTGCACTGCAACTGGTGGAGGGAGAAGGTAATATGACAGCGATTAGTGGTGTCGGCAATGTCGCTGTGCTTTTTTTAAATATTATTATTATTATTATAAACCTAACTAAATAATAATCTTAAAATGTTCATAAAGGAGGGTAGGAGGAGAAATAGTGGCCTGTGTTACGTCACTGCTCGATTCCTCTCTACCATTTCCCTTCTGAAATGAACTTGTCCCTTATACAATGTGTTTAACCTAAAAAATGACCTCCTTGTTATAACATTTTAAAACCCTTTTCCGCTCCAGGATTAGGATAATTTGAGTTTAGGAATATCAAATACAGTATGTCTGAAACTAGTTCAGAAGAAATGGATAATGTAGGTTGGGTATTTTATAGTGAAAGAGAGGAATGGAAAGATGTCAAGCCTATTCTTCAGGAAGAGGGCTCACAGCCAATCGTTGCTATCGCTTACTCAGCCAAATGTATGATTCCTAATATTCCTATTTTTGTAGGCAAACTACTTGAAATTACTCCTAACATTATTAAATAACCGTTTCTATTTCATTTCAGTTAAGGATGTTTATGATTATCTTCGAGCATGTTTATATAATAATGAGTTTTCTGAGAGAACTCTAGAATTAACTAAGGATGCCCTTATCCTCAACGCTGCAAATTATACTGTTTGGCAATACAGGTGGTGATTGTTTCTCTATATGTTTTTCTATTTTTTTTTGTTTAACAATTTGCATAAAAACAAAACTAAGGTTCTATTACATCGCTATATTACATATTAGGCTTACATACCTGGGAAAGTCCTTAATCTTACTGTTGCTGATACAGTCGTAGAATCAGTGATTTAATCTTAAAGTTGCTAATTAAACTTTAGAATTTACAGTCAGAGAAGCAGTGGTGTCCTGAAACATCTGGCACCCCCAGGACAATTATATCACGAGCTCCTCCCTGTCAATCTCTCTCTCTCTCTCTGCAAATTTTAAAATATTGTTTAGAAGGAGAACAGATTTCTTCCTATTTGAATTGTATTTCTTTTAATATATCTCTTATCCAATTGCTTTATTAAAAGATCTCCTAATTAGTGATGTGGTGTGACAGAGATTTTTCATCTCAGCTCCGATTGTGAAAGCTCCAGGAAAATCACTGATTTGTCACAACTCTGATTTTTTTCCCTCTTGGTGCTTGAAGCTAATAGTGGTGATAAGTATGTCACGGCTTCAAAGCATCACTGTTTACTTCTATAGAAATAAAATATAAATAATCTTTCATATATTATAGAATAATTATGTAATATCATTAAACTATATTTTAGTTACATTCATCATTAATGAGGAGATAGGGTTTGAATAATAAATTTAATATTTGATGAGAGCCGATAAAAATTGTTCCTGGGACTCCTGGGTCTTTCAGGGAGTATTTAAGTTTACTTAATTTCAAATTCATTTTTAATTTATATTATGAGATGATTTTTAGAATTTTATTCAATTATGATTGGCTGATTAAAGTGCAGTAGTGATAATAAGAAGGTAGGGTAAGGATAGTCATAATTTTATATAATCATATATTTTCACTATTCATAGTTTTCAAACTCATTTCAAAACGAGTTATTTCGGGAACAATTATTTTCATTTTTGAAAAATAATTTAGTTTAAAAAATAAACGATAATGAAGCAATGAAAGAAAAACTTTCCGATGAATATTTCAGAAATAAATAACTTTATTTTAATAAATTTTTAAATCATCCAAAGTTAAAGAAGTAGGTAACTATATGTATTTAATAAAATTTGGGGAATAACCATTATTTTGAATAAAATTATTTCATGAATTATTCCTTTAATTCATTTATTAAATAAATGATGTGCCCAGATTGCTGGAGCATTGGACTCATAGGAGTTGGAGTAATGATTGAGCTCTGTGAATAGAGGTGTGATTTCACAGTGCCTACAGTGACTGTCTCAGTTGGAGCGCTGTGAACAGAGTTGTGATTTCATAGCGACTATGGTAACTGTAATAATTTGAGCAATGTAAACAGAGATGTGATTCCGAAATTCTTACAGTGACTGTCACTATCATTTCGGTGCAGCTGTCACTGATCGCTGTAACAGAATCACAGTTCCACTTTTTTTTTTTTTTTTTGTTCTTCCCTACCTCGCCTTTTAGGCTATACGGGATTTTCCCAGGCCGGGGGGTGAGGGCGGGAAATTTAAAATCCCCTCCGGCACCGGGACGCGAACTCGTACTTTTTATATCATCTCAAATTTCTGTTATCCGGTTGCTATCATCTCAAATCTCTGTTATCCGGTTGCCAGGCAACTAGCGGTGTTGTGCACACGCTTTAGCCTATTCGGCCACCCCGCTTCCCGTCACAGCTCCACCTATATCACCCCTTCATTACTTCTAATTTTTTGATAATATCCAACGTGAGGTAAGCACACCTATAAGTTTCCCTGAATTATCCTTCCCTAAGGATTATCCAGCACTATAGAAAAAAATGGTTAGTGACAACAACCATTTAATAAAAAAACAAATTTAATACTTTGGACAGGTGGAAAAGTATGTTGTACATCCAATATTTTTTACTTTTACTCCCCTATATATGAAAATACTTATTTCTACTCTAAGTATGGTACTAAGTGAATGTTGTGGTATGATGTATGATTAACAATAATTTTAATTGTTTGATATTTATCTATCATGATTCTTGTAGCTAACTGAATTTATAAAGGGCCTTTCCCCTAAACAATAAAGAATATTCATTTATTCAAACAAAATTTACCCTATAAATAATAATAAACTGGATTATGTCAATTTGTAATTGTAAGAACCTTTTTTATGGACTATGCCCAGTATTATTTATTTGGATAAACAGCTAAAACTAGTCTTGATTCAAAGTTGTTTAAGTGTTTGTAAGTTTTTCAGTATACATAGATATTTTATAATATTAAACACACCAATTTTCAGAGCAATAAATTATGGATTGGTTGTTTGTGTGTTTGTAAGTTTTTTTTAAATATATTAACACCAATTTTTGAAGTAAATTATGTATTGAAAAACATTAAAAATGGGAATGTCATTGATGGAGTGTCGTCACTCACCAACAGTTTACTTAATTAAATATTTTTACTATTTTTATTTTTAGTTTATAATTCGCTCAATGCAAATTGAAAATAAATTGCCTCAAAAAAAGTTTTAAAAAATAATTAAAATGTAACAATAGAGCCCATGTTAAAGAAAAACTATTTATATTATTTTCTTGTGTGTAAAAACAAAAATTGTGTAGTAAAAATCTATAATATGCAAAAATTGTCTAATTTACACCTAAAAATGTGCAAAGATCATCCACTTTGTTTAATTTATAATATTAATACATCGAAATCCAATCAAACCTTATGTTAAGCCTTCTGAATTTAAATCCACATTATAATCAACTAACGACAATACATAGTGTAATACAACACTAAATTGCGATTAACCTAAATCTTCAAGAAAGAAAAAGAAAAAAATAAAGACTAATATAAATAATAGAAAATATAAAGATAATTCACAAAACATATAAAAAAAGGTCTCAACAATTAACAGACAAATAATTAAATATATTTGTTTAAATTCCTGTAAATTGTTTAATTGATTGGCTTATACAAGGAATGAACTAATGTAGAGGAACTTAAAAAATTTAAAGATATGAAGGATAAGTATATATTATATAGACCAGACCAATTAATTCAGATATTTAATTTAATTAAAAATCATATAAGTCCATAAGTAATATAAATTGTCTACGTTACAATGAAAACTTTATTTTTTAATCAAGTTGAAATTTACAATGTTATACATTTCGAAATTTGTTTCTGAAAAATTATTCCTCCTATAACTTAATAGGTAAGTCCTTTAATTGAGAAAAAGAGCGTTTAATATGAACTGATGTAAGGAGACTCATTTTGTAATAAGCAATTACTGCTGGTTCTTTGTCAACATTGACATTCATACCCTTAATGCAGTCATTATATTTTTCTATAAGAGCGTAACCTGTATTTGTTTCTATTACGGAGTAAAAATTTTTAAATATAATTTGTCCTATTTCACTATTGATTTTTAAAAATTTTCTTCTACAGTTTTTATAATTTCAATTTGTTTATTAAGTGACAAAGTTCGAGATTCCTACTGAGTTAATGTTTACAGAAATTTGACAAATGTAATTTTATGAATGTCAAATCGGATATTATTGATGGTCTATGATTCACTTCAAAGCCGGAAGGGATACTGAAAGAGTAAGAATTCAAATCAGAATTAGGAAGGCAGCTTTTTTATTGAATTACCTCAAGGCAAGTTCTATTACTTGAATAGTCTGTCTGCACATGTGTTTACTTCGTCCTTTTGTAACGTTAAATTTGAATCTTTACCAGTCATAGAATCATTTATCTTATTCATAATTTTCTTTCTTATATTATAAATTTAATATGGACAAGATAGTAAAATAAAAAAGTAAATATTTACACACACACACTCACTTATATGTATATATATACATGTATATGTATATGTTTATATATATATATATATATATATATATGTGTGTGTGTGTGTGTGTGTGTGTGTGTGTGTGTATGTATATAAATCATTTAATCTAGCTCAAAATTTGCAATTTAATGCAATCAAAATTGCGCAATATAAAATTTAAATATGTTATTCTACAGATCCTGAAATTAATAGATATTTGAGTCCGTGGTTTTTACACCTAAGCGAATAAAATGTACAATAACATGGAAATCCTCTGTCTAGTTATTACTATTAATTAATTAGCTCAAAATATTTCTCTGCAACAATGTGAATCTGAAGAAGCAATCAGATACTTGAAGTATGAGTTGTATACTACATAATTCACAAAGACGTTTTTTAAAATGAGACGCAGTTCCATCAAAAATGAACATAGTTACTTTTGCAATAAACTAATGATTTATTTTATATAATGTAAACTAATGTTTACATATTTTATATAATATTATGATTGTTGTTTGATTTAGGAGGATGATATTACAACACCTGGATAAGAATCACCTGGAAAAAGAACTATTGTTCTCCAAGTCAATGATAGTTGATCACCAGAAGAATTATCAAGTATGGTAGGTTAGAATTATTCAGTTTATTATTATTTTTTCTTCCTTAGCACTAAAAAGTAAGGAAGGTGTTGTTATAGGATAAAATTTTGGGTATTAGGTTTTCTACAGATCTTTATGTTTTAGAACCACATAAGTCCAACAAAAAAACAATTTTTGGCCATTGGTTTTAGAAATTTATTAACAATTATATATAGAATCACTTGAAAATTAATTAAATTCTCTACAAATCAAAAAAATAAATCATCTAAATTGGATCTGTGTTAGTAAATATACAGCTAATGTAAATTGAATCCATATTTTTAAAACTAAGTATTTTAAAGTTGCCGTGGAAACTGGGGATCACTTTTCTTTATTTTTCGAATAAGTTTAGTAATGAACATTCTGAATGTTTATTTTAAAGATGATTACATTGTCTATTAATCCAAACTTTTAAGTTAAAAAGAAAGAGAAAAAAAATCTTGATCAGACCAATATCACTGAAGATATAATAATAATTTCTGTATTGGACTTGGCACCTTATATCAGTAAGGAAAGTTGTGTAATCGGACACACTAGATATTTCAAGAAAGAAGCAATTAGAGTTAGCTCTAAGTAATTATACAACTGTGAAATTAAATTAGACCCATCTTCCAATCATCTCACTTTTTTTCATGAATCAAAACTCCTAGATCATAGACTATTATGGCCTGGTTGAAGTACAGCAGGATTTCTAGGTTTTGGGAAGAATTTTCTTAGATCTTGGCATAGGAATTACTATAACTGCCCTATTGCCATGTACCACAATCAGTCACTTGTCCTCTAGGTTTAGGGAACAATTATACTAACATTCACCCAGCAGACTACACAGAAAAAGGTCACTAACAGTACTCACCTTATAGACTAGGAGTTACCATCCATTTCATTTAAGGAAGGACTTGATGCTAGTAACCATTTTAAATTCTAGATAAACCTCATCTGAACACACAACTTCAATCAGTCGATTAAAAGCTGTTGCTTTCTATGCAAACATTTAAATTAAAGCGGCGAAATTTGTCAGTTCATTTAACGGAAAATCATACAGATGATACAATTTACTATCAATTTTATGCACAGCTTTTATACCTTGACATAGGTCCAACGGGTGAGGAGTTAACAAATATTAACTGTTTGCTTATTTCACTAGAAATATCTGTTTTTATTAGTTTTCCTCCAAAACTCATAATCTGTACATTTCTCGAAGAAATTCATTATAATCAATCAGTCTACTAGGCGTTCCACTTATAGGCCAATCTTGTTCTATTTCCTCATTCCTTGAACTAACTTATACAATTAAGTCCAGTATTACAAATAGTATATCCGTTATTTAATATTTTTATTGATTTGTTCATAATATTTGTTCTATTTATGTTGTTTTTTTCCTTGCCAGGCACCATAGAATGGTTATTATTCAATGGCTTAATGATGCCGGAAATGAACTAAATTTCGTATCTCAGATGTTGAGTGAAGATCCAAAAAATTATCATGCTTGGCAATATAGACAGTGGATTCTTAGCACGTTTAAGTATGTATATTTGACATTTAAATTTTAAGACTTAACAGAACATTAATAGTATTTCCAGATTCATATAAAAAATAATGTTTTTTTTAGTATCAACGCATATCTTTGAGACCTATTGTGTGTTATCCTCTTCTCTTTTAAAACAGGGCGATAGTCTTAGTGACTTTGTATATATTATTAGGGTTAATCGATTCATATAGCTTGGAATCAACAATGCGGTCAAAGCAAGAATAGAAGCACCACTTTCTTGTTAGAACATAACATTTGCATATTATGTGACAGGCAGTCTTGCCCTCCATACAGCTTTACCTGTAAATGGGTGACTCGGGTAAACTCAAATTAGAGAGGTGTTTTCCAGCCAACAATGACCTGTATACAGTCCTGTTATGCCTGATAGTAATCATGTCCATTAGTAGATGTATTAGATTTCATTTTATTCAGTCCTTATAGGAGCATTTTTGAATTTGTCTATTGTATTTTAATCTCAGATTTTATCAACAGCTTTTTTACAAACCCAAAGGGATCAAAACATCTTTGTGCTGATCTGTTAAATGTGGCTTTTTTCAGTTTGAGTTGCATTTAAGAGTAAGCTCTTGATTCTTAACTTCATCAAAGATGTTTACTGATTATTTCTATAATTATGCCTAAGCTTGATGGTTTAGTTTTAAATTAAAGAGAGCTGCTAAAATACCTTTAAAAATGTAAAATAACATGTTTATAAAAATAAAGAGCTTTACTGTGAGCAATGACATAAGCATACATACATCGTGTGTAGTACCCCACTGCTGTCACAACTGGTATTAGTCCAGGATCTACCAAAGATTTATGATCAGCGTGACCACATAATCAGCGACAGAAGGTTTGAAAATTGAAAAGAGTAGAGATGACAACCCTAATGCCAAAACACCTCGAGTCAGACAGCTAACTGGAAGCGTTTGGCTGCGATAGAATTTAAAAAATCACAAAAACTGCCAAAAATTGGTGATCAGGAGCAGGAAAAAACAATTGGAATAGTTTCAGACCACATTGTAGATAACGGATTTAATAAAGTCAGACAAAATTTTGGAAGCTTCATATGAATCTGACAGTGCTAAAAATCTCAAAAAGTTCCAGAAATTACGTGGCCAGCAGCAGAAAAAATCTGTTAGAATACTTTCAGAGCACAGTGATTTTATTATTGTTAATGTATAAAATCTGAATAATTAATTTATAAGCTTTTCACGAATCTGACATGCAAATTTGAAAAATTTAACAAAGAATATGCGGTCAGCATTAGGCAAAAAACAGTTCGAATAGTTTAATCTTTAGTTTGTTTTCATAAATGTACATTCATAGCATAAATAAAAGATAAACTGTAGTGGCCTTTGTCTTTTTTTTACACCAAGAGCCAGATTTGAAGTCAGATCCTGTCTAAAGATGAAAATATGGCAAGGCTTTGGCTATTAGTCGATATCAATCTCTCATGGAAATACGAGCAATCTCAGTTTCAATGGTTCTTCATCTGTTTTTAGAGAATAGCAGGTTCCTCTAAGCCACCACCAAATGAAAATTACCCAATTTATTGATGACGATCTTGGGGTTTTCGGTCTTCAGCAATAAAGTTCACAAACTCTGCTTTGAAATGATCCTTTTATAGTAAAAATATCTGATGTGGTTACCCCTTGTAGTCCGAGAACTACCGAAGATTTAACCACATGATCAGCAGCAGAAACAGTAGGGATGACAACCCTAATGCCAAAACCCCTCAAGTCAGACGGTTAACTGGAAGCGTTTGGCTGTGGTAGAATTTCAAAAATCGTAAAAACTGCCATAAATTACATGATCAGCAGCAGGAAAAAAGCCGACTGGAATAGTTTCAGACAACTCTGTAGATGACAGATTTAAAAAAGTTAGACAAAATTTTGGAAGCTTTATACGAATCTGACAGCTTTAAAAATCACAAAAAGTCCCAAAAATTATGTGATCAGCAGCAGGGAAAAAACAGTTGGAATAGTTTTATAAAAAATTGCTGCAATCGTACCTAAATAGAAACAAATAATGAATACTGTATATTCAATACAATTTACTACTCTAATCTGTTAAATATACGATATAAGTTATCTCTTCATGAAAAGGAAATGACCTGGCTTTGGCCATATTTGTGCATTGGATATTTTTGCAACATTTTTGTCTGTAAAGAAGGAAGGAATATTTTTCAAGTTCCAAGATATTTTCTTCTGGAATCTTTTCAAATAGGCCGAGTTTTGAATATATTTCTCTAAATCTTTAGTTTTTTCATAAACTGTAGTGGCCTTATGTTTTCTGTACTCTCAGAGGCAGATGTGAAGTCAGACCCTGTCTAAAGATGAACAGCTGGTTAGCCTTTGGCTAAGTCGGTACCATTCCTTTATTGAAATACATGCATTCCACCTCAGTTTCTATGGTTATGCATCCATCTTTTAAAGAATAGAAGGATTCCTCATAAGGCAACACCAAATGAAAATGATCCTTTCCTAAGCAGTTTCTATAATTAGATGGTTTAAAATTGTGTAGTCCCTTTATAGTATAAATATCTGATATCATTCTCCTTACCCTGGTCTCTCCTTCTTTTGCAATGTTTTAGGATAACTTTACATATCCATCAAATACTATATCTAGTGAGGATGATCTGATTGATCTTAACTTTTGAATTATAAAAATTGATAGATCATCTTGAGGGAGAGTATGCAGAAAAACAGAATTGAAAGAATGAGACACGAAGGCTAGGAATAACTACATCAGATATTTTTGCTATAAAGGGATCAAAAATTTTTAGACTATCTAATTTTAGAAATTCCTAAGGAAAGAATCATTTCGAAGCAGAGTTTGTGAAATTTATTGCTGAAGACGAAAATCCCAAGAACGTCATCAATAAATTGGAACTTGCTATTCTCTAAAAATAGCTGCATAACCATTGAAACTGAGATTACTCGTATTTCAACGAGAGATTGGTATCGACTTAGCTAAAGCCTTGGCAGCTTTCCATCTTTAGACTGGGTTTGACTTCACATCTGCCTCTTGGCATAAAGAAAAGACAAAGGCTACTACAGTTTATCTTTTCTTTACGCCATGAACGTACATTTATAAAAAAAATATAAAATTAAATATAAAAAAAACTAAAGATTAATAGAAGTATTTTTAAAACTTGGCTAATTTGGGAGGATTCCAGAAGAAAATATCTTGGAACTTGAAGAATATACTTCCTACACTATATAAAGAATATACTACCTACACTGTACGGACAACAAGGTTGCAAAAATATAAATAAAGCTAGGAAAATTTTTTCCTGAACAGATAACTTATTTCCTATATTTAATATGTTATTGCATTGAATATATATTATTTCCTATATTTAATATGTTATTGCATTGAATATATAGTGTTCATTATTGTTTTCTATTTAGATAGTGGATGGATAACACATAGCATTTCTTAACACATAGCATAGTTAATGGTTAAATAATAACATGGATTTGTGTGTCATTAATTTGGGATTTTTGTTTATCAAATTGACCAACATTTTTTATAAACCTAATAGAGAGACTGAAATAGGCAACAGGAAAAAGTCCTAGGCCAACAGATTCCAATTTTTTGTCATGTCGCCCCGCACGTAATATAAGTGCTGCCATCTCAAAAAGTTTCTAAATATTGGTCAAATTTTATTAAATCAGATTCCTACAAAATATCCTGAAACTATTTGATCCTCAAATAAATGAAAAGTGTCCGAAATGTCAGATTTTATCAAATTCATTACCTACTAAGTGGTATAAAACTACTCCAACTGTTTTTTGCATGGTGCTGATCGCATATTTTTTGGTTTTTCGCATATTTAAGCTTCCAAAATAATTATTCAGGTTTTATAAAATAACAATAATAAAATTACTATGCTCTGAAAGTATCCTAACAGATATTTTCCTGCTGCTGAACACATAATTTCTAGGACTTTTTGAGATTTTTAAAGCTGTCAGATTCGTATAAAGCTTCCAAAATTTTGTCTGACTTTTTTAAATCTGTCATCTACTGAGTTATCTGAAACTATTCGAGCAGATTTTTTTTTCTGCTGTTGATCATGTAATTTTTGGCAAATTTTGAAATTCTACCAGAGCCAAACACTTCCACTTAGCCGTCTGACTCTAGGGGTTTTGGCATTAGGGTTGTCATCTCTACCGTTTTCAATTTTCAAACTTTCTGCCGCTGATTATGTGGTTAAATCTTCCGTAGATTCTGGACTGTATTACCTATAAGCCAAGGCAAGGCGAAAACATATCTTATTTATTGTTATTAGAAATTATAAAAGTAATTTTATTATTAGAGTCATGAGTTATTTCAAATGTTTTATAATTAAAACTAAAAAACTTATTTTGGATGGACTACAAAACTTGTTTTAGGTTGTATGACAATGAACTTCAGTATACTTCCCAACTTTTAGAAGATGATATAAGAAATAATTCTGCATGGAATCACAGATATTTCATTATCAATCATACGACTGATTTTGCTGAATCTGCTGTCTTAAAAGAAATCTCGTTCACACTCAATGCTATTGAAAAGGCTACAAAAAATGAAAGTCCCTGGAACTATCTACGTGGGTAAGTATTTAGTGTTTTTCCTTTTATCCCCTTTAAATTGCATCTTTTACCTTTCTGTTGAATTGTGTGGATCTCACCTCTCTGTGTGACTTATTTGAATTCTCCCAAAGCAGGAGATGAAAGCTTTTTTACTTAGAGTCTTAAATAAAAAAAGATAGAACATCCTTGTAGCTCTGGAAATTGAAGTGATGATAGTGAAATACTACTGTTATGTTATGTTATACTACTATGTCAACAGGTATTGATGAGATATGAAACTGTCTATGATAGATGATATTTATACACATAAATTAACTAACATGTGTTTAGAACGTGAGAAAGTGTTTAAAACGTGTTAAGAGAAAAAGCATAATCCAAGCATTGATATTGATTTTTGTTCAATTAAATTTTAATTGGCCCATTTTTATGAAAAATAATAGTTTTTTTATTTATTTTCTTTTATTTTATTATTTTTATTACAGTGCTATATTAATGGATAAATACTTAACTTTCAGGCTGCTAATTCATACAAGTAATGGTATACTTGATCCACAAGTTATACAATTCTGTGAAAAACATTACTCTCAAGGTAATAGATCTCCTCATCTTTTAGCATATCTAATAGACGTAGCCTATGAAAAAGGAGAATCGCACCCTCATAAACCAGAAACAGGAGAGTTATTAAATCGAGCTATAAGGGTATATTTATTAATATTATATTGATGGTTATACCATTTTGATTATTATATGAATAAAGTACCTGCATATAATTTTGTTTCATATTCATACTGTAAATAACTGTTTCAATAAATTCTGTGTATGTTTTTTTGAATGAGGTTAGGGAAAAGTCTTTCATACTATGAAGTGTGATTATAAGTCTGCAACAGTGTGAGATTCCTACTCACTAAAAAACTACCTCCATTCTGTTCGTTACCACTCTGTGAAGCCACTGTCAGGCGTTACTTCGTTACTCTGTGTCTAGGTCTTCAGACATTTTATTAAACCTGCTTTTTTATTACCATATGGCCTCTCCTCTCTTGTTTCTTTTCTATGGATTTTCTTCCTATTTGCGCTCCATAGTCTGCAACTGCACTTCATATCTCCTATTTTGTCATTATCAGACAGATTAGCTCCTCCTTCTCTTTGAAGAAAATCGTGCAGCTGAAGAATGTGTGTTTCACTGTTTCATCCATTGTGAACCACTTATGAGAACTACCCTTGCTATGAAACTTTCATTGAAAGGAAATTTTAGTTGTAGCCCATTTTGATTAGGGTGTAAAAAGTGAAGAAGGCAATAAATACTTTTCTATCCCTTATGATTCTTGGATAGAAATGAAAACAATTCCAGACTACCTAAGAGATAAGGATGTGTTTCATAATTTTATTTATGATACAATAAAATTAGAATTCCATATTGTTGAAAAACAAAGGAGAGGAAAACAAGTAAATCTAAGTCGGGAGCTTTGGAATCTCTTATTTTGAAGCACGATAGATCCAGTTTTTCCTGCGCGATTTTTGGTACTTGCTCCTGATCCAGTAGCTTAATTTCATCAAAGGCCATTTCTGATTATCTCGGAAATAGTGTTGTTAATATTTTTCCGAAAAGGTGACAAGATTGAACTTTTTAGCGTTGCTCTGACTATTTTGTTATGTGTATAAATGGTAACGGAGAATGGCAAAAAACTAATTACATTCATTAATTGATGATGAGTTAATATTTTGCACACATATATTATTGAGTCGGAAATAAACATTTCCACAGAAATTAAAGGGAATTGTAAAGGAAAACTAAATTTTCTTCAGTTTGTTATCTAAAACTATATGAGCCGCTTATTTTGAAAGTGGCCTAACTCCGTTTTTAAATTTTTTGCCAGTTACCATGGTTACATGTACAACTTCATACTATATATCAGTAAAACATTTCAGGTTGTTCATATTTTTATAGTCGGATTTATATTCCGAGCAAATACGATAATTTTTTGACACATAAGTTTTCAGAATTAGTTCAATAACTGAACCGTTTAGTTTGAAAGTGGCCTAACTTCATTTATTTTATGCTTACATCAAGATATTTACTATTGATAATGTTGAAAATGAAAATTTTATTGTAAATGAAATGAGACAAAAAGATTTTGTATCAACAAAATTATTAAAAGACGCAATTTTTAAAAGGGTAAAGAATTGTGATGGAGAATCAGTAACTGGTACAATAATTTGGATGCGTTTTATCAGAAATGAACCGTATACAATTTTCTATAAGACAACAATGAAAATTTTGAAGTCTTGAATTTATTACCACGTCGGAGTAGACCAAGAAAATTAGAAAATATTGTATTGACACCACTCTATAAAAATATCAGACAAATTACAACAACAAAATTTAAGGACATGATTGACTTATTGCGATATATACCACCGGAACATCATGACTACTCCAAATCCTTTCACAACGCGCAAAATGTAGATGAATAGGAAATTGTTTGTTAATAAAATGTTTGTAATTTTATATGTTCTGAAAATTAAAAAAATGTTTTGAATCGCATAAATTGTGTTTCCGAAGTATTTTAAAGATATGTAAAATAAATTGAGTATTGTGTTTTTCAATTTGAAGCATCTTAAATTATGTTGAATGGACTTGGGTGCCTTCAAATTTATAATGAATCTGGTTGTTAATTTTGAAAGTGGCCTAACTCCATTCTTGTTAAGAAAACGCACATTATTCACTTAATAATTGTTACTATTTTAATAGAAACCATAAATTTAACACCCTTAGATACACTTAAGCAGTATGACTCATTAGTATATTTTTAAATTCATTGAAACGCAAACCCTTAAATATCTCGATTCAAAGACAAATGGAGGTAGGCCACTTTCAAAATAAACGGCTGATATAGTGTACAGAGTTTTCATAATTTATATTGTTTGTATTTAAAATTAAAGCAATATTCTTAAGATTTATTAACTTTTTATGAAGTTAATTTCTACTGAAAGTAGAGTAATAAGTGAAAATTTTGTGATGCATTGGACCAGATTTTAAATGTTATAATGAACTATATTTCAGGATTCTATTAAACTGTCTTTTTATTTACGTTTTGTTACAGATGTGTAATGATTTGATCACTACTCATGATAAAATTCGCCAAAACTACTGGAAATACATTTCTTATATGTTGGAAGATAAATTAAGGAATAATAAACTTATAAAGTGTGATAGCAACATTGTTTTAGAAATATAATTATGTCATTTTAAATTATTTATTTTAATTATTCTGTTAACCATGTATCAACTCAGTTCTTATTAGCATTTTGTCTGACTAAAAAGAAATTGTTGAGTATAATTTTACTCCTATAACTTCATACTAACATATATTAAATGAAAAACTTGTCACATTTTTAAATTCCTCTAACTCACTAATCAATACAAGTTATGAACTGCTATTCAAGCTATTTCAAATCGTGAAAAGAAGTATCTTCTAGTGAATTTGTCTTTTTAGAAAGTTGAAGATGATGCCTGTTTTTTAATCAATAGAAATGACCAAAAGCTATAATAATAATAATAATAAATTTTTTATCTGTTTATGAAAAAAAAGCTTTATTTTGTTTTAATTCCTTATACACATATTTTTATCACATAAACTTTTCAGAGTTTCTCCTATCTTCAGGATGTTTTTCTAGAATAATTACTTATAAAAATCTAAAAATTGAATTATATTAGTAATATTACACCCTATATTTTTTTTACACATAATTGATTTACAAACACAAGCGCACACACACACACAAAGTATTGAGACTTGAGAGAAAAACCTCAGCGAAATAATTGGAACAGAATAATAACGCATGGAGGAAACAGACCAATAAAGCTGCTTACAGAACCTGGTCAATCGATATCATATGATATGGAGGCTAGAAGATTAAGATGGGTGGGGCATATAACCCAGAGCAATCCATCTGGAAGCCTCTACACAACCATGAATGCCTCAATAATAGGGGGGGGGGAGGGAATCATGTGGAAAACTAAAAACCAAATGAAGATAGAATAAACAGAGCTGCATGCAGACAACTGGAAAGGAATTGTCCAAGATAAGCATGAATGGAAATTGATAGATAGAGAAAGTTGATTAAGGCGGCAAGAGGTCTATAAGGTCAGTAATGCCAACAAAAAACACACATATATAAACTAGTTGTTAAGAAAAAAAACAGCTTGAACCTTGAATTTTATATAAAAATCTCATATTACAGAAATATTTATGAGCCTGAAGTAATAATAGGTCAAAGGGGATTATCATGCATTAATCCTTTAAAATCTCATGATTGTCTCTAGGATTAATGATAAAAGTATTAAAATAAAACGTGGATTTCATATTTTGGCAAGTTTGTCTCCAGTTGCCTGTTCAATCCGGTTTTGCTTTTGTGTTTCTTGAAAAACAATATTTCATTTGTATTAAATATTTTAGGAGTGTAAAATGGTTTTGGATCGCTCAGATTACTGCGTTGATTGAAAAGTACTGAAATCAGTGATAAGTGGCCTGAGTTCATGATCTGCCTAAAAATAAGTTCTGCCGGTAGTCCAGAATTACCGGGAGACAGGATGCTACACTAGGAGGCAGTGCCAGGCCATCCAAGGAGTGACAGATGAAGCAGATTGGGACATTTTCAATTTTGAGATCAGCAAACTTTGTCTACTTAATTAGGTACTATAAACTCGTACTCATTTGCTTTCCATTTGAATTGTGAGATAATTTGATCACAAAATCATGAAAAAAGGTGGTCTACAAAGATATTGGACCGTTTGGCATGACCTACATCTCCAACATTTCAAAATAACAAGGTTGTATTGGCCGAGCGGGCCAATATTTTTGTAGCCCCTCTTTTTTCCTGATTTTGTGATCAATTTATCTTAAGATCCAAGTGGAAAGCAAATGGGTATTTACGATTTTTTATATGTATAGATAAGAAAAGTAATCTCCAATCAGTCTACAGTTACAGCTATTTTAAAATTTTCTTATTTTCAGCAAAATTTGTTTTTATTATATTCTTAACTCACAAGTTTTGTTCGTTTGGCTTGTAGTATATGTGGCCACACTTTAAATAAAGTAGAAAAAACTGCAAATTATTTCACAATAGTTTACTATTTCCAAACAATTATACATCTAAAGTAACATTATTGGAGGAAGTTAGTCGACTGTTCTACATATCATGAGTGATAAATATTCAGGATGCAGTCATACATTTTTTATTAGTGCCGAAGTTTCAACCCAAACATGGGTCATCATCAGGGCTGAAAATTTTTAATACAATCAGAGATATAGTATTATACGACAGATAATGGTTAATAATAAAAATATAGTGACTGATGACAAATGAAATATGTAAAAAGTTATACAAACTAAAAATAATGTATATAATCAATTTATAAAACATGTAATATTTTCTCTTACCGGATTTTGAACACTGAAGGTATTCAAGTACTAACACTGGTAGGTAAGTAAAATGGTCAAGGGAAGATTTCCTAGATGTGCTTTTTCAGATAGCAAAAGGTAGGTAAACATAGTCAGAGGGGAAGGTGGGTAACATTTCTCTTAGTAGAATACTAATAATTTTCTGACTAAATTATTTAAGATCTATACAAGAATTGTGTTGTTTCTTATAGTAACAAAATTGTGACAATTGGCTAGTAGTGCTCATATGCAAGAGATACCAATCAATATAAACATAACATAGTTTGAAGATATACAGTAGTTAGCCAAACAATGTTTATAATACAGACAATCGTAATGGTTTGAAATTATAAGTAGGAGAATATATCATACAATATTTTAAGAATAACAATATTAATCAAAAAAAAAATATATATTAAGAATCACAAAGTTCTAATGTTATGTAATTGGAGTGCTACCAATGGGTAGTTTCTCTTTATGTAAATTTCAATAATTAAAAAAAAAAAAAATTATACACTAGGAGGCGGAAAATATTCGAATATGTAATGCAGATATTTTCTTGGTCTACTTTGTGGTTTACCGGATTATTTATTATTAAATTATTGAATATAACTTCTGAAAGTAGTCGTTTTTGGTGATTAGGAACTGTGGCAAGTAGATTGGGGTTTTCAAAGTCAAATGTGTGTTTAAGGTAGTGATGGGGGATAGTCGATAGTTTTACATTATCGATAGTTTCGTTAAAAACTATCGATAGTTCAGTAACTTCCTGACACAGACTTAAAGAGGATTTATTTTCGCGGTATTCTTAAATTATTTACTTTAATTTGCTGCATAAACTTAATAATAATTAACATTTATATTACGCCTGTACCCCATCCTAGATTATAATAATATAATCTCTGATCAATTTGGATTCCACACATCCCATGCCACTATCCAGCAATGTCATCTTGTGGTAGACGTAGTCTTCTGTGCATTGGAGCGCAAAATGTATTGTAAGGGAGTCTTTCTCGATGCTGAACCGGCGTTTGATAGAGTCTGGCACCCGGAACTGCTGTACAAACTCCGTGAATTCCTACCACCTACATACTTCCTCATTATCCGTTCATACCTTACTGATCGATACTTCAAAGTAAATCATAATAATGCATGTTCTTCCCTCTTTTCCCATTATGCTGGTGTTCCTCAAAGGATCATCCTCGGTCCTTCCTTTTATACAGTTTATCCAGCTGATATCCCAACACGGTCATCATCACCTATGCAGATGACACTTGTACCCTATCTGTTAATAATGACCCTTTAATTGCATCCCAAACCCTCGAATCACATCACAAAACTTTAAAAATGGTGTCATAACTGGAGAGTAAAAATTAATTCCATCAAATTACCTTTACCCTTCGTCGTAAACCTACAACTTCTTGTCCTACATTGTCCTTCAATGATATTCCACTTGTTCCTGTTGAACAAATCCGCTACCTAGGACTCCACTTGGACAAACGTCTCAATTGGGATCTGCATTGCAAACTGAAACGACAAGAAACTGCTCGACGTTTCCGACACTTGCTAGACAAACTCTCTAAACTTTCAAGTAATTGCAAAAGACTCCAAAATTGTCATCTCTTTTGATGAAATTAAAATAAGCAATCAAGATTAATTAAAGAAATTAATGGTACTTGTAAATATAATAGAAAAGAACAATAATAAAATAATAATAATAAAACTAACAAACAAAATTGGTTAAACGAAACACGGTTGGTTGAACAAAATTAAGAATTTTGGCACTTATATTTGTAAAACTAAGATTAACAACGAATATAAAAGGAAATATATAAATAGAAATAGAATAAAGATATTATAGATGTATGGAAACTTTGTTGACATTTGAATTAAAGTTATATCTCTTCTTGCTATGGGATTAATGATCCAGCATGAACTTGTTATCATGTTAATACACCTTTTCCTCTACTACCCTTCTTGATTAATAAAAATAATATAATAAATAGATTATTAGCAATGATAAAGATCAAGTTTCCATACAGTTAAACTTTTTTGAGGCAGTGTATTTTCTAATGCTTAAATTCAATCAGGTAGCCATTATCTTTTTCTTCTGCAGTATTTGTTTCAAATCTAAGTCTTCAAATTATTACCTAACTTGGGATTTTGTGCTACTTACCGTTACTCACTAGCGGATCCAGGATTTAATTTTGGGGTGGGGCTTCAGCCCGAAAGATTTTTTTTTTCATAAAAATGACGATAATTACTTTGGAAAAAAAGAAAGAAACTAACTATCTATATGAAATAGTGTTTAAGTGATTCCTTCAGTCCTTTTAAATGTAATTACACGAACGATAATACTTTAAGAGATAATTTTTTAATATATTTTTCCATAAAACATGGTTATATTTTACCATTTTGGGGGGGGGGGGAAGGCTTCAGCCCGAAAGCCCCTCCCCCCCGTAGATTCGCCCGTGCCGTTACTTGTAATCAGTTAAACTCCTTAAATAATCATTGATCATGGATGGCAATCCTTTGTTTTCTCTCTCCCTCTCTCTTTCCTAGCACGGGGGGAGGGGGAGGCTTTCGGGCTGAAGCCCCCCCAAAGTGGTAAAATATAACCATGTTTTATCGAAAAAAATATTAAAAAAGTGTCTCCTAAAGTATTATTTTTGGTGTAACTACATTTAAAAGGGCTTCAGGGATCACTTAAACACCATTTCATATAGGTAGTTAGTTTCTTTCTTTTTTTCCAAACTAATTATAGTTATTTTTATGAAAAAAACAACTTTCGGGCTTAAGTCCCCCCCCCCAAAAATAAATCCTGGATCCGCTAGTGTTTCCTAGTACTGTTTGAGGAATGGATTGTATTTCTAGATTTTACAGATTTCATGGCATTGGCATATTATTTGTAGAAAAATGATTTTTCATTTCGTAACAACATTAATTAGACCTAAATGTTTTATAAACAAAAGTAATCATTAGGGAACCTTAGTGGCGATTGGCGCTTGGAAGACAATACTGGAACCAGCTAAGGTATAGTTGTAATCTTTCAGTTTAGTTTTTCTGATATAAATGAGTTCGAGTTTTTGAACCTTCATAAATGTTATTATGTAAAAATGAATGATTATCTCACTTTTCATGGTTCAAGAATGACTGGAATTTTCCAAACAAACACCGCCCCCCCTCTCTACTTCCTCAAAAAATATCCTTCCAAAATATAAATGTTTATAAACTCATTTGATTATTAATTTTCATAAAAAATTAAATATTTATGAATTTAAATTTCATCAACGAATCAACTTGTAGTTATGTGTATCCTATGTTATCTGTATGGGTAAACCTAATGAATCCGATTATTAATGGAAGGAAACGTGTTTAAGGTATTATTTTCATATTTTAAAGAATCCAAAAAAATAATAGTATAAAATGAACTTTTTTTTTTAATAAAACAAAATTGTTGTAATGTTGTTACTGTTGAAGTTACTGGTCTTGTACTCCAGGTAGTTCCGTTAGGTTTATATTCCTAGGTTTATCATTAGCTTCTGTCAGGGTACAACCAATGAAGTTTTAATTCTAAGTTTGGGAGGAATTGGAAATTATAGAATAGTGCGGCTTTATAATACATTTTTTCATTACAAGAAAAAGTGAAATTACAGATAGTTAATTAAGTTTTACTGGACCAAATCTTGTAAGCAATTTTCATTTGCTTTCTGGTTTTCGCCACCATGACGAAGAGAAATGTGAAAGCAACAGTTGATAAAGAACCGGATAGAAGTCGTAGGGAATCGTCTTCAGATGGAAGTGTTTTAGAAAATCCAATTAATAATGGTACCAAAAATAATAAATCTAGGAAGTGCAAAGCACAAGGTTCCAATAAAACAGCCAGTATTTTAAAACTAAAAACAAGCTCTAAATCAAAACATCTTAGTGAATCATCTTGTGATTCTATGGTAAATGAAGGTTTGTATTGCCTTGCAGTTTTTATGATTTATAAAGTAGTAACTGTTTTATTTTATTTTTTTCATTAATTCATAAATAATTGGCTTGAAATCTGTCTCATGCCTAGATCTTATAAGGACACTCAATTTCTTTTTTCTTATAATTTCTAGGCTTAACAGTGTTTTTACTTTTGATTAATGATGGATGTTTTGGACATTAATGATGAATTTCATTATTAATTGTGGGTTGATGGTTGACTGTCATGAATAATGAAGAGAAGGATGGTTGGGGTGATCAGTCAGAAATAGAAAGACCAAAATTAATAATAATATTTATTGTAATATTTGCCTACGTTTCGACCTGAAGTTCAGGCCTTCATCAGGGTTCGAAGAGATAGTTTGAATTGAGTGTAGCCATTATCTTTTTACAACTATCTATTATATTTACTACAACTATCTCTTCGAACAGCTCTGATAAAGGCTTGAACTTCAGATCGAAACGTCGGCAAATGTTAAAATAAATATTATTATTTATTTTTGCCTTTTTATTTCTGACTGATCACACCAACCATCCTTCTCTTTAATTTAATCATTAACTTCATTGTCTTACATAGGATCAAATATTCGAATGTCTAATTTGGCATAGGGTTTACTCCTGTCTCTTTTAAGCCTAAGTAATTTTGGTTTGTTTTTATTATTTTCAGAATGTAATTTAGCAAAACATGAAGAAATTGCATCAAATGATAAAAATAGGAATATGCCAGAACACTCTTCTGGAGATCCGATTGAAAATCATTTTCAAGAGAGAATTCCTGATGGTAAAGAAAGCCAAACTAAAATCAATAGTGACAAGTATTCTGAACTTTTAAGTATACTGAGTGGAAAAGAAGGTGATATTGATACCTTTATTAAACAGTACACAATATGGCAACAATCTCAGTCGAATAATGGTAAACCTCTTAGGACCAAAAAGAATGTTGCTAAATCAACTCAGGTACTTCAAAAGCCTATGAAATCCAAAGCTATAGCTGCCACACCTTTAATAAAACTAACCAAAAAAACCAATTCTAAAAAAGTGATCAAAGATTCTAACAATAGGAGGTAGGTTATTTTTTAGGATAAATAGATTATGTGTATTTATTTATATACAAAAATAGTCAAGGAAAGATGGTAATTTGGTTCTTAGTAGGGCTTTTGCAGAAGTTTTAAATCAATCTTTATTAACTGAGATTATAATGTGAACACGCCAATTCTAGTCTATTCTTGGAACTCCATTTATACCGCAAACCCCTCGGGCCACTGGACAATGCGGAGTGACATTTGTAAGGGGGTACTCTCCGACTTTTTGGCATTTTTAAATTAAATTTTGTCATGAAGTAAAAATAAAATAGTTTTCAATAGTTTTAATTGAACAAATCTTGAGAATGGTCTATAATATCCTTTCAAACACAGCGATATCTATTGTAAATTCCTTACTTTCTCATATGCCAATTTGTTTTACATGTTTCTACTTTTAAAATATTTGATTATACTGTAGAAAAAACTTTGTTGGAGCTCCATGCTTTCGGTTTTCAACGGAAATACAAGTTTTGAGGTCTCTTGAGTCCAAATAATCAAACCCCACAAAGTGGTCTGTGTAAAGAGCTTCTTTATGTAAAGATAAAATACTACCTGACCTTGAAACCCTAAATTGGAACGATATCTATTACTGCACCTCTAATGATCATATGGTAGACATCCTCACTTCTCATCTTATCCATATCCTTGATATTCATGTTCCTATTAAAACCTCTACCTTTCGTCGCCAACCTGCTCCTTGGATGTGTCAAGAACATGCAAAAGAGATGTGAGGTAGCCCGTAGACGCTTTAGACGAACTCCATTAGCAGATGATTATCAAGCGTACAGGGTACTCCTTAACTTGACACAAAAAATGACTAGTAAAGCAAAATCAAACTTCTTTCACAAAGCTCTCCCTTTGTAAATCCTCTTCCTCATCGGTCTACCCGGTTTCACTTGATGAATTAAATTCCCACTTTATATCTTCCTCCACCAGCAACAGCTCTCCCTCCTATTACCAGTTTTCCTTCTCAACCTCATTTAACAGTGATAATTTCTACTTCTCCTTCATTTCACGAATCGACCTTATATCCTCTACAATCTAATCCCATACAAACTGCATTGATATTTGGGATGGAAATCTAGGGGAAAATACGATTTCATAACCACGTTACATAAAAAATATTTTTTATAATAATATTTTTAAAAAAATTATTTTGAAATTTTTTATTTTTATAAATAAAATGGGGTTTTAGGCAATTATGTTCATTACAATATAAACCATTTCACAGAAAAACAAGAAATAAAAGCTTTGCAGCAGTTAATTGTAGTTATTTTTGCAGAAAACGGATTCTTTCAGATGGCTGGGTATCACATAGTTTTTTATCTCAACTTGAGTTGAATCTCAAAATTTTTCCTAATAAACCTTAACCTAATTAATATGGAATGAAAGCTTATTAGGAAGGAAGTTTTTGTAAAAGTGAGATAAATGTAGTACAGTCGATAGGTGGTTAAGAAAAAAATCACAAATTTATAACTTTTTTAACGGAACATGGTTGTATTTAGCCACTCAAAAAAGTCCTCTTCATATAGTTTTAACAATGACAAACTACTTTAATTTAAAATAAATATTATCTTAATTACTATGAATCAATGTTTAATTATTTGAATAAAATGTTATTTAAGTTATCTCTTCTTATTCAACAAAACACTTAACTTACTTAAAAAAACACAAATCTTAAATTTTCTACTTTTTTGCTAGAAATTGAGCAATTGTTTATATGAACTTTTTTGTAGATCTTGATGCCTACTATCAAGCTCTTACATACATATTTTCCTCTACTTACGGGACATCCGGGACATTTATAGATATATATAAATTGTCTACAGGGTTTCCCGTAAATAGAGACAAATTTTTGTAGGAGTGATAGCAGACCTGATGAAGAGCTACAAAAAAGTTCATATAAACAATGGGTCAATATTGAGCAAAAAAGTAGGAAATCAAGTTTTGTGTTTTTTTAAGTGAGTCATGTTTTTTATTGAATTGGAAGCAATAACTAAAGAAATATTTAATTTAAGTAATTAGTAATTGCTTCATTGTAAACAAGATGAAATTTACTTTAAATGAACATAGAGTTTATTATTGTTAAAACCATTTCCAGAAGACTTTTGAGGGGCTAAACCAAGCTAAATTCTGTTTTAAAAAAATCATAAATTATTCGCCATTTTTTTTTATCATCATTCAAATATATTATAGTTTCCCCACTTTTACAAAAACTTCTTTGTTCAATAAGCTTTAAGTTTGTTTTAATTAAGTTTAGGTTTATTTGGAAAAAATTAGAGATTCAGCTCAAGTTTTGTAAAAAAATGATATTTTTTATCCTGTCAAGTAAAAGTACCCGTACCAAATAAAAGTAAGTATTTTCATCAAAAATGACTACAATTAATTGTTGCAAAGCTTTTATTTCTTGTTTTTCCATGATCTGGGATGTCTTTTAATAAACCTGATTGCCTAAACACACTTTTTATTTATAAAAAAGTTAATTAGAAAAATATTGATTTTTCAATGTTTTTCAGATAAATTGATTATTAACTGTGTTTTTCATCCTCATTGATTTGTATTTGTGAGTGACAAAATAAAAAAAAATCCTCTGATTGCTTCAATTATTTTAATTAAAACGTTAATATTAGGATCAGGAACCTTTAGTTCGTCACTTATAAATAAATATAATAGATAATTCTAATTATCTATCTATATAAATAAAATAAAGATTTTGTCTGTACATTGAATAGAATCAACCCGTTTTATGATATATTTCTGTTTCATACATTGCAGACACCAAATCCACTTTTAAAAAATATTTTGTCTGTCTTTATATCCGGATCGAAACGAAATTTTGTCAGGGGTAAGCTCAGCAATGGCTTATTTTACACTTTTGAAAATTTTAACATTATTTTAAGGTTTGCTTGACTTAAAACATAAGCTTTAAATGAAAACAAAATATTGAGTAGAACCAAAGTTATGAATTATTGAATAATTTGTCTAAAGATATCAGTTAATGTTGATAATAAATGTTAATAATAAACATATGTTTATAGGTGAAAGAACATCTATATAAATAAAATGTAGGTTTTGTCTGTACATTGAATAGAATCAACGCGGTTCATGATATCTTTCCGTTTTATACATTACAGACACCAAATCCACTTTTCAAAAATTTTTTGTCTGTCTGGATATTCCCATTATCCAACAAAATATTGTCAGAGATAAGCTCGGCAATGGCTAATGGTAGACTTTTGAAATTTTGATATTATATTTCGGTTTGCTCAACTTAAAATATAGGCTTCAAATGAAAACAAAATATTGAGTTGAACCAAAGTTATGAATTCTTGAGTAATTTGTCTAGAGATCCTGGTTAGGCAGTTACTTACTTCGATTCCCATCATAACATACTCTATCGCGAGCCACATTTAAAATTTGTACTACTCAACTGAAGGAAAAAATTATCACAACTCAACGGGAAAAATCCGGAATACCGAACATCTGTAATGTGTTGTCGCATAAAATGGGTAAAACACATTCATTTTCCAACTTTGTCCGATCTTCCCGTTGAAGGTGTCATTCGATTAAACTTCCCGAGCTTCACAAATGTCATATACATTTTTAAGATTAACGGATTAGCCTAAAATACACCCCACCCGCCCAACATTCAGATCAAGTTCTAATTTTACACAGGTGTAGGTGACTCAATGTCCAGTGTTATTTTGGTTATTTTGCCAGCGATAATCTCAGCAAAGTTTAAAGAAGTGGAGAGACTATAACTCTTTTTAATTATTTCAATTGACTCCACAATCTCCTCGCTTCATCATAACTGACAATTAAACACTTAACTAATTTTAATGGATTGGTGGTGGGTCGGTTTAGTTTTGTCATACCTAAAAAATAGCCAAATAACAAAGTTTTTGTTATGACTAATGCAAAACCTTGACTTCCATAAGCCTCGCCATAAAAAAATTCAAAACGACTCCCCTCCTCTCTCCCAATAATACCAAATCCATCTCAAAAAAAGATTCTCAAATTTTAATTATACAGTCGTCAACGACGGGCGCATCAGCTAGTTAAAATATATAATTATTCTAATTATTTAATATACACAAAAATTTATTCAAATAACACTCCATACTAACCTAAATAACTAATATATGTTATTGCTTTCAGTTACCTATAATATATTGTAACAATTCTTATATTTTACAAATAGTAATATGATCCCGGAAGATCACGTAATACAGTTGGGATGATTCCAAAAGAAATAAGAGGTTGTTAAATAATAACAAAATTATTATAATATTGACATATTTAAACTTTATAATGAATTTATCTCAGGTATTGGTTACTGACAATTAGATCAAAAGACTCAGACAAAAATTAACTACATTAAACACTGTTTGATTTTAAAATAATGTCAAGTATGAATTGGCAAGCTAACCTTTTTTCTATATTCACTGTTTCTTCCTTTTTGTCACTGAATTCATTTGTCTTCTAACATTTTCCTATGTTCTGCCAAACACATCTTCCAAAATGGTAACACTTTCATCTACTCAACTGAAGCTCTCTGGGAGATTGTCTCTCATCATCTCTTCACACCAGCCAAACACCAACATTTTTTATTTTTGTTCTCCCCAACCTCGCCTTTTTAGGCTACATAGGGTTTTTTCCCAGGCCAGAGGGTGAGGGTGGGGAATTTAAAAGACCCTCCAAGGCACCGGGACTCGAACTCGTAATTTTTGTCTCCAACTTTGGTTATCAGGTTGCCAGGCAACGTGCAGTGCTGTGCACACACGTTAGCCCATTCGGGCACCCCGCCCCCTGAGCCAAACACCAACTGCTTTTCAAAACAAAATCCTTTGTCCTTTCCCCTCTTTGTGATTTTTCTAAAGAGCAGCTATTTTCTTTCCCCTGAACTAGTAGAACTAGATTAGCTTAGTGTAGTGATGGGGTGTGACAGAGATTTTCCATCACAGCTCAGGTAAAATCACTGT